GATGCACAAACTGGGCCCCCTTAACTAGGAGTTTTTGTGTTTCTATTTCGCGTATGTGGGGTTTGGGCTATGGTACAGGGTGTGGCAGAGTTTTCGGCGTTACGAACATTATTCTGCCAGCTTTTGTTTCCGATTTACCACTTGAACAGCTTTTTTGAGGATTGACCAATATGTCAACACTCATTAAGTATTAATTTATAAAAAAAAAACAAACATAACCAGTAATAATATATAAATCCGGTCTACAAAATATTCCAAACAACAATATTTTTTAGTACAAATGAAAACATCCGTTCTAATAAATTTCAAATCACACTACTCGTCGAAAATATTTTCAAAAAAAAATTACAGTTTTGTTTCGACGAGAGTTACAAAATGTTTCGTTCAGATAATCTCACATTCTAAAATTAAGGGGTCGTCAACAATGCTCAAATAAAAGGCCTATCAACCAAGGTCACCGGTCTTATCAATATCAGATTAATTCTATAAGGCATGACATAATATTGTGGGCAACGCGACAGTCGACATCAAACAACAAGAAAAAGAGAAGTTTTGACCACTTTTGACAATATTTAAAAAAATATTTACATACTAAGCAATTACACGTACTTACTAACATTTTTAAAACTCCCAAAAGACATTTGGATTTATATGTCTGTCGTTGGTAAATGAGATTTGGCGCCGTCCAAAAATTTGAGGTATCCAAGTTTATCACCTGCGACGACCCAATAAAATCATCAAAATCTGAAAATCGATCACTCATCCTCGTGAGGCAGCGGAACCGGCAACGCTGCGACGAATCGGTACGCGTCTGCGCCACATTCCGAGCGGGCCCGACGACGTCAAGTCGTTAGATATGCGACTCCCGGGGAGCGTAAAAAAAATCCTCGTAAACGCGGTGGTCACTTTCCCGGTACACATTACCCAATTTACAGTTTAATAAATTTTAATAAAATGAAACGCACAAACGACCCAGATGGATGTTAGAAAAAAAGGCTGACGACAAAATAAAAAAAAAAAATCTGTTTTTATACGAAATTTAATTTTGCAGTAAGACGATACGAAAAATAATGATAATATAAAGTGATATTGTATAACCACGATACATTTTGTGTGATTCCTTGGACGAGAGGTATTACTAGAATCAGTTATTTATTAATAGTAGAATTTAAGGAGTCTAAGAATTAGTTTGAATAAGCACCGCATATCTCTCGGTATAACTATTGGTTAACTTAATATTTTTTTGTCGGTATTAGATGAGACACGTTCTAAAACTTGCTTGGTTGAAATGTTATTGCGACCATGTATTATCACTTTGCTGATATTTCCTTAGAGGAAGTTTAATTGATTGGACTGTAATACTGTCAACTAATATTATTTTCAAACGGCTTCTCCAACGTATGACATCCGAGATTAGCTTTGGTGGAGGTGAAAACAAATATATCAACAATATAATAATTGTTGTCGGGGGCTTGTTCCAAAAATTTCGACTTATCATACAAGTTATATAAACTAAAGGCTAGTGACACACTAGTGCTCTTAATTGGGAATGGTCTGTTCATAGATATACGAAAGTGACCATTTGCTTTTGAATGGGATTATCTAAGGGCGGTCATTAACATACAATGCAACAAGATTATTACCTAAAGTTTCGGAATTTAAAATCAGGTAAAATTGTGGTCCGTAATAGAAAATAATTTTATACCTACCTGTGTTTAATATTCTTTGGTTTGGTATACTACTTAAAGTTTATTAGTAATCATTCTTATTTCGTGTGTAATACAGCGTGTGTTGAATCGTGTGCGAATTATGCAAAATATGTGCGAGTCTAGTGTATCTCAGGAGATGCTCCCACCAAAATGAAGAAAACACTATTATATTGAGACTAAGAAAGTTGTAAACAATGTTTATTTGACTCTCATTGAACGTGGTGCCAGCAAGCAAGCATCTTTAGAAGAAACGGCCACTTTGACGAAAATTCCAACATGAACTTGTATGGAAAATTGTGAATAATCCCACTTCAGCGAGGAAAAAAAGAGGCGATGCTGACATTTTCTCCAGTGTAGATGAAAGTGATCAAGATATAATACGGAGTAAAATTTACCAGTTATACTAGGAACAAAACGTGCCTACATTAGATATCTTAATTAGGAGGCTCGAAAAAGATGAAACCGGTGTCAAATGAGGAAGAACTACCTTATGGAAGTGTGTTCAACACATGCGTTTTAGATTTAAAAAAATTGGCAAAAGGCAAGTTTTAATGAAATCTGTTAGAATTTGGAAATGGCGACTGGAATATCTAGAAAAAATTAGGATTTACAGAGAACAACAAAGGCAAATTATTTACTTGGATGAAACCTGGTTCGACACTTATGATACCCCGGAAAAGGGTTGGGTTGACTCAACTGATAAAACAAACGCGCCATCAAAAAGAGGTAAAAGAATAACTATTTTGCATGCTGGCTCTAAAGATGGTTGGCTTCCAAATGGACTTTTCCTGTCTGCGAAAAATATTAAAGATTCTTTTCTGAATTACCATGAAGACACCACCGCTGATTTATATGAAAGTTGGTTTAAAAACAAACTAGTTCCAAACATTCCTCCTAATAGCGTAATTGTAATGGACAATGCAAGTTATCACAGTGGACAGTTGACTAAAACCCCTTCCTCATGTGACACAAAAGAAACAATCCAAAACTACATGTATAATAACGACATTTATATTCACAAAGATTATACCAAAAAGCAATTAATTGAGGTTCTACAAAGCTTGAACCTACAAAAGGAATACGTTTGCGATAATTATGCAAAAAATCTAGGGCATACAGTTTTAAGGCGTTTCCACCTTACCACTGTATATTTAATCCCATTGAACATGTTTGGCACCAACTGAAATCTGCCATTGGTCGTAACAATATTATTCCCCGTCTTAACTCCAATGACCTCAAACTTATGGAAATCGCAGTTTTTAGCATCCCTCCACAAAGTTGGGCAAATTCTGTTAAACATATAGAAAAAGCAGAACAATCGTATATCCATATTGCAAATAATATAGAACAAATAATAATTAAAACAGGTGATGATAGCGATGATACTGATATATTATGTGAATAATTTTAAGTAACTTAAGTAGGTAATAAAAATAATTTGTAATTTTATTTTAGATTTAAACATAAATACATAAATAAATAAATAAATATTGTTTAGTATCTTTCCTAACAAAACCCCAAATAATAAAATTCTAAGCGGGTCTTTCTTTAATTCGTATCAGTTAGTCACTTTCTTATATCCATCAACAGACTTTAATAGAGGTATCAGTTGGGTAATTTGAGCGCGGTGTGCCGCTTGTGACTAATAAAACTTTTGAGGATTTTTAATTTTTCAATAATTCGATAGAGACAGTCTTAAAAAAAAACTTTCCGATGCGAACGCGTTTTTTCAAACCCCCGGAGGGTGGCTACGATACAAAAACTAGCTCCGCATATGACGAAAGAATTGTCGGGGAATTTCGGGCGGACGCGGCAACGTCGCCGGGAAAAATGCACGTGCGGCAAGTATGCGCTCGCATTCCGGAGAAATTGTTGAACGTCCCCGCCCCCGCGCGAGTTTCCGAAAACACGCGCCGATCGTCCGGAACTTTTACGGACTAAGATGCGTCGCCCTTAATATTCTCGGCCGGAATTCCCCGATTCGCCGCCAACGAAGAAAGAAAAAAAAAACCGATGGCCATTTTTTCCCGACCGGGGCGCGCGCGCGCGGAGACTTTCACTCGATTCGCTTTTCGTTAATAATAATTTAAACAGGAGTTATTAGCCGAGTATAAAAAAAAATCGCGGCAGGTTACGTTATTTACCAATGCTCCACCTATACCTACGTACCCACTTCGAGTATCGGTTTTCAAGGCCGAGTCGCCTCGCTCATTCAGATACTCCTCGCTCCGTCGCTGCGCGGCGATCTAGTTTTCGCTTGCCATTTTTTGCAATCCGCCCCAATCGCTGTCGATAAGACGAGATAACAGTGAAGGTTATCTTATCGCTTCCTACGCTCATCATTGTCATCCGTATCCGTGCGATATCGGCCGCAATAAAACGTTTATCGGCCGTTTTCGCCTCTATTACATAAGACGATTTCCAAAACCTCGCAAAACACCTGATCTACAGCGTTGGGGGGGGGGGATAGAAAACGTTCCGCGGCAAACGATCTAGATAGCCACGAGGCAGAACAAGTCGACACCATACGGATTCGCCTACTATTCGTCGTCGTGTCAACCGGCCGGACACGCAGAAAAGAAAACACCACGACCTGTGCAAAAATGTCTTTCTTATCGAGAGGCGCGAGCCTTGACCACGCGCGCCCGCGATAAAATCGAAATTTTGGATTTTCGCGAGCGTTCCCGATCACCGACGACGACACGGCCGACGCAAACAGCAAAAAATATTAACAGGTCCGTGCGCTGAGGTACGGTCAAAAATCTAATTCGCGAGATAGTAGGCTTTGAACACCGTTAGGCGCACGATTTGGCAACGGCGGATCGCGTTCGTTCACACTAGAACACCCGCAACGTTCCCGAGTTTTTCCGCTGAAAACCACCAAGGAAAATCATTGAACCGTATCCTCGATTGATTTCGGGACATGCGAGTACGCGTAGCGACCGGTGGCGAAGCGCCGCGGAGCCCGAGTTCTATCTCACGCAAGATTTTTTTTATCAAGTAAACAATGTTACGTAGTCCGCTTGTTTATAAAATCCGAGGCTAGGAATAGTTGTCGCGGCGACGATAAGTGGATACAAAGAAACCGAATGTTTGTTTTTTTATCGCCTGCACGGTTTACCAAATAAAACGGGACGGTTCGAAAACTTTTTTTAAATGCCTAGACGTAAACACCGTTGAGCAAGTTTCACCCGTACATACGAAAGCAATCGAAAATAAATCGAACGCAGCCGTGTGACACACTTACGTATTCGTAAGTGTTTCTAAAGTGTAACATAGTCGCGGACTTACCAAAGCAAAGAAATTCGTGTGGCAATCTTCTAAACTGGCTCCGTTAGTTTGAAAATTGGGGTGCGTCATATTTGATCCATTTTTAAATGATTAATCCACAGTACGACACAAAACTCGCACAGCACGTCACAGAAAAACCCCGAACCGCACCAGGAAACATCTATATTTACCGAATAATTTCACCTTTCAGTAGTAACTGCAAAATGGCGGCATTAACGACACAACAAGCTGTACTAAAACCGTAGAATACCGAACGAACAGACATTTCAGTGTCTCGCGAGCCGCGCCTATCAACGACGCACGTCCTGTCGTCGTTCTCCGATCGGGTTTGGTAAAATCGCGAGCACGTACGTGCGCGATGGTTCTGTGTTGACAAATCAGTCAAAAATCATGGCGGCGTTTTTCAGGCATGGGGTTTCGAAAGGAGGACAACTTTTAACACCGAAAACCGTAAATATTTGCAATTGTTGATAACCCAGGACACTCTTTGGCACCACCCCACTGTCTGTCGCGGTCGAAATATCACACTTGATCGCGCTGCCTTAGCTTACAACACTGTTAAGACGTTCACTGACTGCGGGACACTTTTGTTGGCATTTTTTCGTGTTTCAGGTTTCTGCAAGTAGTTACGCCACCAAAGCGGAGAAAAAGAAGGGCGTCGACAGGAAACAGGGCCCAAAAATCGACTCTTCGGCTGAATCTTTGGCTGCTAAAGGGTGTGTAACGACTTTACTTCTAACAACTACTGCTCGCGCGGGGAGCCATTGCGATTGCTTTCCCTTTGGTTCGCCTGTCGGTCGCGGGGGCGCGCCACTTCTCAGTCAATATTTTTGAGGCTGCGCGGAAAAATACAAAAAGATTGCTTTTACTCGGGATATTTTCCGCCGGTGGAATTTTTTTACTTCATCTCCGCCGAATACTGATTTTTTTCTTCGTTTAAAATCTTAGTTTTATTAGTGTTTATTTATTTAGTACCTCGCTTATATAACCAAAACAAAGTTTTCTCTGCAGTATTTATTTAACTTTGGAAATAATACAAAACCGTTAAGAATAACTACGAGATCCATAATTTTGGGGAGGAAAAATGTTTTGTTCCGTTTCAGATTTCTCAGACCACAGAAAGAATATATTCCACCACCAGACGTTGAAGAAAGACTTAAGGAAATTTTTGAATCTGTAGTGGGGACATCGCAGGGCGGATATAAAGTGACGAATCTGAATGACAAATTTAAATTGTTTACAAAATGTATCGAGAAATTCGACCACCATGTCCCAAATTCGCTTCTGCATCAAATTGAAACGTTGGCGGAATTGAGGGACTATTATAAAACCCCCGTGGACGTTACGACGCCCCTCGATAAATTACGCAACATGGATCTGCCCGAGAACTTGCACGTCCAATTTGAGTACCACAGATTCAGACCAGGTGGCGTTCATTGTCATTCTGGAATGATGCATTGTGAAACTAAATTCATTTGTTTCAGACGCCGATAAATTTGGAGAAACCGCGTTCCCAGGGAGATCTACAATTGTCACGGGTCTGAAATACAAAAACAAGTACAAAGGACATGTCCAGAAATCAAACACTCCTTGGTTTTAAAATGCTCGCTTTAATGTGTTGGAATTAACTAAGGAATAAAGCAATTGTTTGTACATTTTTACTTTTACTTTGTAATAACCATCCTTAAATTATTAGCAGCTTTTCCTATGATGTTTTCATATTTGCCCCAATTTGAACCGGAATTCTTTTTTTACTATTTCTGTGGAAAATGCCATTTTTGTCTTTGCATTTCCAGCTGTTTTTGACAACCATTTCATAACCTCACTTCCGTAGGCTGATGGTGTTTATTTTGTCTTAGACATGTAGACATCCCAAATTAGAAAAATGAATATGTTAATCCTTTTCGCGATATTGGTTGTGGTGTTTTTTAGCGTCTCTAGACTTTTGCCATTGGTTTTGTCCTGGCTGTTTGAAAAGAAATATAAGGTTCCTCTGAAGATTGGAAAAATCGGGCTTCCCTATTTGACCCTATGTGATATAACGTTATCCAAAAATGGATTTGTTATTGTATTTAGTTTCGCTTCTTAAGACGGCCCTTTTTTGCTAAGAACCGCTTGTTTTTCAGCATATCAGCGAAGTCAGTATCAAAAGCAGTTTTTTAAATTCTGAATTGACAAAACTAATAACCCTTGTTATTAAGGATGTAAATATTAAGGATACGAGACACATTAAGCCTTCTAAGGCCGCCCATAACGTAGAAGAAAAAAAGTTGCTTGATTTTAGGGAGAAGAAAGTACCTTATTTTATTAATAGCTTTGCGCAAGTAAGTTGTATACCATTGCTGTGTGCTTACTTCTTAAATGAATTTTAGTTTATGGCTGTGCATATTTACAATACTTCCTATGTTTCGCTACTAGATGCGGAAACTAGCACTCTGTCCAATACTTTTGTTAGAGAGCTGCATCTGGATGGAAGCATATTAAAAAATGCAAAGTCTCTCTTGGTAACTTTAAACATTATAGATGCCCAAATACATATTGTAGATCAGGTTAGGCATAATCAGCTGGCAGATTTCGGTTTTGCCATTGCAATGGAGACAATTTTGGTGGCACAAGGGCCACTGTCAGTGGAGGCAAGCTTACATAGTTCCCTATATGATTTGCGATGTTTATTAATGGGGTTTTAGAAACTAGATGTTAAAATGTCACACAGCAAAGTGATATTAAGAAGCAACTTTTATTCACTGCTCCAGCAAGCAGACCAGAAACATATGGGAAGCAGTGACGGCAGAAAACAATCATTTTCTGACTCGGAAGATGATGTTCTGGACAGAATTTTGCCTGTTGTACCAAAGGTATGACCTATTATTTTAAAAAGTTGACTCATTATTAATTTTCTCCTGCTTCAGAATTGTTCTTTGCATATTGATAACACATCTTTCAAAGGTTACAATAAATTGGATAAAATAGAGTATGTGTCAGATTTAAAATCTTTGGCTCTCAACTATCGCCCTGTGCAGCAAACTGAGAGAAACAGCGTGCTGTTTAATTTTTATCTGACCGACTTGGTCTTGGAAACCAATTCCGATAGAGCCGTCGAGTTGAAGAGTCTAAATGTGGATGCCAGAGTAGGCGCGTTACTAGAAAACTTCAATCAGAGCTTCATGTCTTACGTTTTAGCTCAAAAACAATGTAATCAACATATATTTGCAACAACACAACCTCATGATCACCTACAACCATAGCGTAATGTGTCGATGGATAACCTCAAATTTTTTGCGCCGCAGTTCTGCCACTCGCGCGACTTCTAACCTCAATCCTTCAGCGATGGTCGCGAAAAAACGCAAATCCATGTTAGAGAACGTTATCAAGGACATCATGATAAACTTTTGCGCCGAAATTTCGAACGTCATGGCCATAGTAAAACTAAAAGGGGACAACACTTCCTCGATCGGATTTAATAAGGTTAGGTTGATGTTGGACCAGGTAGCTGATATTAGGGGAAGTCAGTATAGGTCATACTATGCCAACTTGCTTTTGAACAATCGTCACTGGCAGACGGAGCTGCTCGTCGAGTCGTTTTGGTGGTCTTTCAAAGAGTGGAACAATGACACTCAAATTTCCAAGGTAGTAGATTCAAATAATTAATAGTACTTATTTTATTTTCAATGTACATTCAATTCTCAAGCAAATTCTATAAATTTTGAAATATCCATAGAAAAAAAAAATTGTGGGGCGTGTACGGAGTCGATGACGTAGATGACGTCACGTGCCTGCGAGTTTTCAGCGGGATATTTAAAAACTATTTTAATTCACATTCGCGTTTGGCGAAATTTAGGTTCTGCACGTGTGGGGCACGCCCATTTACCTAGGCATGGCCCTCATCAAATTCTGCACCTCGGAAGACGAGCACATCAAGCTCTATTGCCTTCTAGACACTGTGCAGCTGGAGTGGTCGTTGGAATTGGCCGATTACGCTCTGCTAGCTCTTAAGTGCTGTTTCCGATCTGGGGGGGGTTGATTTTTGTGTACCATTTTTTTAATATTATAGATCGATGATGCACTATCGCATTCCACTGGGCGGGTGGTCTAATAAGAAAGCGACTGACGGTGGATTAACTAACCTCATAAGCAACGTGGTTGTCACTCATTTTAATTGTTTTTTACAATCGCAAAACAACGGCAAGTTTTCAAAGGACCTTAATCAGGATTCGTCGTTTTTTGCACGTTTTCCGTTTTGCAGAATATTTCGTGTCGCGGTTAGACGCGGTAAGCGTCGACACGAGCCTCGAATCGAGCAGCTGCAAGTTCGAAGAGTTTAAACTCTTCACCCTTCAAAATACGGGCGACTACTACACCTGCATAAGGACCGAGGACATTCTCAACTATAAAATTTTCCTCAAAGTCGCCCACTTTAATTACGTCGAGAAAATGATGACCCGGGAGTTCAACTTGTCGCTATTGGACAACATCGTGACGTTTTGGTCGGCCAACTTCCACTTGAAAGCGTTGCTATTGTATAAGTACGTACAGTTTAAGCGAACGGTAACCTAAATTTATCTCGATTTATGTCGAACGCGCGTATTGCAGGGACATTAAGGATTTTTGCACGACTTTTAAAGAGCACTTACCGCAAGCGGAAAACGCGGGCGCGAAGCCAGATAAAATGCCGCTGAACGTGCTCAATTGCAACGTATTCGGCAAAATGGAGTTGAACGTCGACATCAACCGTCTTCACAAGGCAAAGATCACGATAGGTTAGTCGGCGGCGCTAAAAGATATTCTACTACGGTAAAAATTGGTGCGCCGCAGGTGGCATTGATATTTTCGTTGAGAAACCACTCCTCTGACTATTTTTTTTTATAAGAACGCGAAATCAGTCTCTGAAGGCCCCCAGAGACGTCGTTCTTTTTTACCAGTTTTACCCGCACGCGTCAAACAGCACAGTTAAACACGAACAAAGACTTCCCCCCCTCACATACGCGTGGTTTTGTATGTTTCGTTCAGTTTGTTTGAAATTGCGGGCAAAAATCATTGTTGATGGATTTTACGACGACGTTAGCAGTGGCGGCCGCAGTTGCTATTAAAATAAAATATTCTAAAAAACAACGTTCCAAATGGGTTAAACAATGGTTACTCAAGCCAAGACAATTTTCACATGTTAATCTTTTGAATGAATTACGACTAGAACCGGGAGATTGGTTTAATTACCTGCGGATGGACGAAGAAACGTATTTGGAACTGCTCACTTTAGTAGCACCACTGATAGAAAAACAAGATACCTTAATGAGTCTAAGTATTTCACCACATGAAGGAGTTACGAAGATCTTAAATTTTCAGTGGCTAGATCATCCCAGGCCCTTGGGCAAATTATACCAGAAACGTGCAGTGCTGTTTTAAAACACCATTACTTAAAGGTAAGAAAATATGTTCAAATATGCTTGAACAAGGTTCTTTACATGGCTACATGGCCTGTTATTTATAAAATTAGATGCCTTTTTGATCGGTAAGTTTATTTTGGAATTTTCAATATTTAATAGAACCTTTTGTAATACTTACCTCATTGCTACTTGCTTCGTCACCAATATTAGTAACTGTGCTTCCGGGTGTTTCTTGGTCTGTAAGGAATAATAGATAATCGTAGTACCACAAGTGTGGTTTATAGATGTCTTCAGTACTGGAACCAGATTTCTTAGATTGAATGACTTTTTTCAATTCCTTACAGAAGCAACCACGTAAAGAGTCAATTCTCTTTTTCACGGAATCTCTTGTTGCCGAGTTGTCTACTTCTAACTTTTTTATCACATCTTCGTAAGCTTTATTTTTTTTATTTTTATAGATTTAACCTTCCACAGGCACGGATAGTATCTATAGAGTTCTTTGAACTCAATTATAAATTGCTTGTTGTAATTTCTTAAGTCAGTCATTGTAAAACTACAGCAATATATTTTTATTCAACAATACAATTTTAAAATCAGTACTCAAAACTAACACTAATTATTGCTGTGTAAAATAAGTGAGTCGACACTGATAAAAACTGTCCTTAACTGTTTCCCCACCACACACTGACAGACTTGAACGAACGCGTTTAAAACGGACGGTTAAAATCAAGCAGTGGCAGATATTTTTGAACGCCAGCAAAAAGGACAGTTTTTGGCCACACGCTGACCAACTTATCCGCACCGTTGTAACCTGCGGGTCAAATTGCTAAAAAAGAACGACGTCTGTGGGGGCCTTGAAATCGGAATATAATTGCCAACGACGAGCTAGGTTAGTTGCTATAGTCAGAGAATACAACGGTCTGCGCCATTGTTGTTTTCATTTTTGGTGTTTGTGATCATCTTCTTTCAGCGTTTGTTAGTGTTTACTGGACAAACGAAACAAAATGTTTTGGCTAATATACAATAACCTGTGGGTGGGTAAGAAAAACCCATAATTCCAATACTAGAAACAAGAGAAATGAGGCTGTTTGTTAGAAGCGCTGAATTAAATTCAATATATACTAATTATATTAATTTATTAATTCTCTGAAACTGATTTTTGTGCAATTCTCTTACATTTACCGTTAACTGTTTATTGGCTTTTTTTATACTAGTTTTTAATTTTCTTGGTTATAACTAACCAAATTGTTCATAGGCACTTTTCATAATTATACATTTGGAAGGCGAAACTTTCTGCAATTTCTTGACTTGCGATGAAGGAATGAGCATTCTGTCTATAGGAGGTACTTCTTGAGCATTTTTTCCACTTAGATGCATCCTGTGCGATATTTAGTATCTTAAAGTTACATAGAGTCACTTTCCGTGACTTCTACTTTATATGCATTTTTAATAGAGGTTAAATCTATAAGTCTGTGCTATATTTAGTATCTTAAAGTTACATAGAGTCACTTTTCGTGACTTCTACTTTATATGCATTTTTAATAGAGGTTAAATCTATAAGTTTATTTAAACAAACGGTTTGCGGCGATTTACGGGCACAAATTCTGTAACAAATATAGTTGCTATCGTGTCTACCGGGCTCTAAACAAAAACGTCCAATTACAAATTATACTAAGGACGCCGATCCGTGTGCTGTGATACCGCATAATATTATGTATATTATATATTTTGAGAAAATACTGCCGTAAAAATGAAGCATCCAAACATTGACCATGTATCAGCGGCCATGTTGATTTACAATTAGAGCTGCCATTAGTGAAAAACGAAATTTTAAATCTCGCGCATGCGCATATTGAACGGACCTTCTCAAAATTTTAGCATAGGCAGGGCGTCTATGTGTCTAGTAGCTACATGGCGGCGACGTACAGTTGGCCAAGATTATTTGGAAACTTTGAAAAATTCTTGAAAAGCCTAACTCTACTCCTTCAAAAACTTAAAAAAATTTATTGGAATAGGTTGTTCCTTTTTCAGTTTTCAAGAAATGTGCCAATTTTCATTAAAACCCAACTCCTTTTTGGTACTTCCTAATTTATGGAAATAGGAATCAAACTATGGACTAAATGAGCTAGACGGTTTTTCTTAAACATTTGATTTCAAAGGAAATGTTCAATTGATGCAAAGTAAATATGATTTTTAAAACTAAATAAAGTTTAGATTATTTTATTACAATTCGGAGACGTATCAGAGAGTCTTAGGAAAAAATAAATAAATAAATAAATGGACAGATAGATCGATACATACATATTTATTAAATCCCAAAAACTATAAAAAATGTAGAAAAGAACGAGTCATAAAAAAGAAACAAGAAAGGGTAGAGATAAAATTTTCTCAAATACATTCATACAAGCAAAATAAAATAAACAATACGACACTATCCCAAATATGTTTTTTACTTTATTTATGGGCGAAGGAAAGGATTTTTAACACACACACGGGGTCCGAGTTACTTCGAAACTTTGAAAAATTTTGGGATAAGGTTAATATTTTATTTACATAGATAATTTTATACGTCAACAGTTTCAAAATGATGGATATTGTACCGGGGTGTATAATATATAAAATAAATAAAAATAAATAAAGCTTTTTACTAAATAATTGACGAAACAATATTTACAATATTTTTTTCTGAGGAAGATGTTACAGGTGTACTAAAATTACATCTTCTAAGCAAGAAGACTAGATGTAACCAAAAAATTTAATACATTTATTTTTATTATTTATGTTTTTTTTATAGAAAAAAAATTGTCTTTGATTGTCGGTTATTACAGTTATTAGTCAGTAACATTTTCTTTTTCTATTCTTAGATCTGCGTATGATTAAAATAGAAAAAATTGTGCCTTTTTTAATGAAAAAGTAAAGCCACAGGCGGTATATTTTTTAACAAATATATCTTTGGTTGCATTAACACTTTCAAATTTTTGGCGTTAATCTAAATAGCAATTTCCAGCTAAGATCTTTAGGTACCGATGATTTTGAGGCTGACATCCAAGACACAGTGTTGAAAGAAACTTCTTTTTAATTAAGTTTTGGTTCATTCCAGTTTCAAACAAGACCTTTACTTGTACCGAATGTACCGAATAAAATAAAAAATTTTTAAGAACAAGTCAGAATTTCTGTCAACCACGGTAAGATATAAAGACTAATTCATAGAAAAATCTCTAAATAAGAAATACTAAGCACCAAAATATAATGAGTGAGCTGAACATATTTCACGCCCTGTGTTCAATGTTTTAATTTTAGTCAATTTTTGTACTGATTTCAAAAATTGTTATAGTGTTATAATCAAAATTGTCAGTTTTAGGTTTTTTGACGTGACAATTACAAATTTAAAACTTATTTGGACGTTGCTCCTAGATGGCGCTCACTAGTTTCACCATATTTAGATAAATGGAATCATATTTTTCTGAAATAATTTTTTAGCTCTGAAGGTTTTGTGACTTATTTGCATTTATAAGGTTCAAGGTATTTTTTGCGATTTTATTCATAAATACTTAAGAGATGAAGAGGTACAGAGGACAGTAAAAAGCTAATATTTAAAAATATTGATTTCGGTAATAGTAATGAAAATACTTCAAAACAAATGTTGGGTTTCATAATATTTTGATGTCTTAGTACCTCGAGTTTAGAGATTGCTTATTCTTTAACAATGATCGGAAATTTTGACTTGATTTTCGCAAATTGTGACTTTAGTCGGAGATTCTGACTTGTTTCTAAGAAATTCTCACTTATTCCTCCAAAATTTTCCCAATTAAATTCAGTCCTAAAGGCGGATAATTTCCATTGAAGCAAAATTTGGTATGTTTTTTAATGCCGACTTATACTTAGCCTTGTTAGTTTATTATTTAAATTTCAACGCAAATTCAGATAATAGCAACATTTAGACTTACCTGTAAGTTTTTCATTCATTTTAAACGTAATCAAGTGATTCTTGTAAAATTAAAATAATCTATAGTTTAAATTAAAGAAAAACATCAAGCATATGGATTTGAAATTTGGAGGAGGAGTCATTTTGGAGGCATTCCCGCTGCCGCGCTGCAAAGCGCACCGTTACTAAAAAGCAATGTATGATATATATATTTTTTTTACTTTTTCTATGGTTTTTAATTAATTTGGCCCACGGTGTGACGCCTCTTCTTTTGCATCGCTCCGCCACCGTTTTGTTTTTCAGACGACGTCTCATTAACGAAACACTTCGCTTATTACTTGAGCGACTTGAGTTACGCGTTTAGTTCGATCGGAATATCGATAGACGAGTCGGACATATTCGAACTCAAGGGCGTGTCGATCAAGAGACTGCGGAAGGAGAACGCGTACGCGAAAGCGTTACGTCAGGAGCGACGCGAAGCCGGCTGCGCAGACGACTTCAACAATAACACGTTCGTCGTGTTCATAGAGTTGTTCAAGGCCGTGTTTCCGCACGAGCACAATTACGCGGAGGCGGTGCGCAATCACTTCCAGTCGATTTTTAAGTGGCTGAAAATTTTGCACGGCCGGAAAAACGACGGGACGCCCAAGAACCCTCGCTTGATGTCGCCCGATTTCCTCGTCAACGTGAGTCGAAATTCGGAGGGTATCGTCCATGGGGTTATTTTTTTTTTTTTGGATAATACCAAACGGAAAAATGCATGTCGTTCTTGCTATTTGTGACGCAATTAATAGTCAAATAAGTCCCCAACAATCCGTTGAAAATAGCATCTCTATATCTTTATCCTAACCTAAAATATGACTAAAAGAGCTTAACGCCCAAAAAAAGTTGGATTTTGGCGTTATTATAATTATATATTTCATTGAAACGGTAAGCAATCAAAACACTTTGAATAGCATCAGATGGCAACGTGAAAGATGCGGTTGGTCAGATAAAAACCAAATGCTTTTCCACGGAAATATTGATAATTTGAAATGACTTGTTTCTGTCAAAAGATGTTTTATTCATTTTTAAATGGTTGTCCAAATTTTATTTCTTAAATACGTCAATAGTCAATAAAATTATTTCTACAACAATTTATTAGTAACCGGGTTAGCGATTAAAATTAATTTTTGATGAAAAAATAATTGGTAATACTAAATATTTGAAAACGGCGAATTTCGTGCCCTTCGAATGAGACATTAATAATAAATATAATGCCAAAATTTTACTTTCTTTGAGACTTATATTCTTTTAGTCATATTATAGGTTAGGATAAGGACTTAGAGATGCGGCTTTTACCGGGTTGATGGGCGCTTATTTGACTATTTCATGGCAAAAAAGTCCTAGTGATTATTCATTATCCGATTTTTTTTTTTGCGGTTATGTCAGAAAACGCTACCTTGTGGCAACTAACCAATCGGCAGTCGTGTCACTCAGCACTATTTATAGCCTAGGAAAGTTACTTTTTAACCACTCCAACTTTATTCAAATGCGTTAATCCTTTTTGAGATATTCTTGCAGGGATAAAGAGATAGCATTAAACAAAAATCATTTGCAATTGTCTGAGCTTTTAAATAGTAGTTTAACTATGGTTAACGTTACAATTTTTTGTGGAAACCGAGTTTTAAAATTCAAGATAACAATTGCGCCCCCACCAAAATAATTTCTTAGACCGTTCCTCAGCATACCTAATACCGGACGTCGTTGCCTTTAGTGGGACTCCCGGTATATTTAAAAAGTAATCCCAATTTACCGTCTTTTCAAAAAACAAAATTTGCATATGTTAAAAAAGTCAAAAACGAGCAATAATATTATTAAAAAGTGATTTTGCTGAACTATCTTTAGAGGTTTTAGATTTGTTAGACTTGTCCAATGACCTCAGAATATAATAAATGTTAAAAATTAAAACAATATCGTATATACATTATTTAACTATCAAAAAGTTATATCGAGTTAATGTTTTTATTGTTTTTTTTTTAATGTTTAAGTACATGTTACCTGACAACGACTAACTTTTTAATATTTTGGATGCGTGTATAGACAGTTAGTATTAGTATTTTACTTTTGTATACTTGTTCTTACCTTATAATACATTTTAATACACCAGTCCGAGATGCATTTTTAACCATTTTGTCAACCTTTGAGTAAATTCAATAGGAAATTTTGCCCCGTGTGCAACAAAATGTCTGTTTCGTTTTTTTAGGTTAAGGAATTCCTGCTCGAGATGAGCGATGACCCGTTCGAGGTTAGGTTGAGGGACAACTTCGAGCTGCTCGTGGACGAGTACAACGAGAGCGTGAAACGGCAAAAAATGCTGAAAGAGAAGGTAGAACGTGGCTTTTGATTGACTCGCGTCTGAGAAGCCGGATTTTTCAGATTGCCGAATTGCTTAAAACGCATTTGCACATGCCCGCCGGCAAAGTGGAAGAACTTTACGCCACTTTGAAGAAGAAGAACGCCGACATTTACATACAGCGATCGAAGCTAATGTACCAGGCCGCCCCTCAGCGAACTAGGTTGTTCGCGTGGAGCATGGTGGACGTCGAGATCATGGTGCGGGACATTCGAACTACTCCCGCGTCATATGACGATTATTTTATTTTTATAGGTTATGTTGGATTGGAATCAGTTGGATCCCTACGACCGCATCCGGGCGATGGACCCGGACAGTCAGTGGCCGGGGGGCGCGGAGGAAAACGTCGAATTTTCCACGATTTGGTGCAGGCACGCTAGCCTACGCTGCCTCGAGTGGAAATTCCAACTTAGGGACTTTCCGCAGCCCCTGTTGCATATTAAAAAGATTTACTTGTGCGGTCAGATCGCGGGGGCCGAAGAACTCGCCCCGAAAAGAGGTGAGCGGGTTTAAATTGAAACGTTATTTATTAGGATGGCGCAGTACATGTCGATTTAGCTCTCGCCTTCGTCGCCGCCGCCGTTGTTGCCGCCGGTGATGGCCCCGAACGCATCCATCAAGAAACCTATAACGTTGAATATCCATTCTAAGACGGTGCCGATAGGGTCGTCCATCAAGGATAGGTTTTGGCTTTTTGTTAGAGCCGACGTTTCCTAGAAAATAAATGTAGTTTTTATGGGGAAATCTCCCCGGTACGACCCTTTCCTTTGGACAGATTATGACGCGGCGCCTTATAACAAATTTATGACGCACACCCACTATATTTGCTTCTACTTCATTTATTTAGAAAAAGAAGGAATAAAACAGTCAGCTTGGGAATTTATAACGTTAATATCTGTTTCTCTGTTACAGAGTTCTCTGTAAAATGAAGCATTTTGAAATTCATTAAACAAAGAAATGTAGCTTCAAAGTCGTATAAAAAGTAAGAAATCCCCTTTAATCCGCCTCTCTTCTCCGTCACTGTCTAGAGGCAGGTATGGAATCAGTATTATTCATGGACTTTATGAAATGAAGATAAAGTGAGACGGACCTGGTTTTCGAAAATATTTGCTTATACTTTATTCATTTAGGAAAAAAAGGAATGAAACACTCACAGCTTAGGAATTATAATGTTAATGTTTGTTTTTTGTTACAGAGTTCTCTTTAAAATGAAGCATTTTTAAATTAAAAAAAAAAACAAAAAATGTAGCTTCGTGTTAATTTAAAATAATTTTATTTAAATATCATTTACCGACAATATGTTTGCAAATTATTAAAGTCTGTTTCCTTTTCAAAGACCCTGCGCCCTGTATGCTAAACATAATCAATTATTACACTCTTCCCTTAACGCTTCAGTCATATAAAACGTAAGAAATCGTCTTTAATCCGCCTCTGCTCTTCGTCATGGTCTACGGGCAGGTCTGGATTCAGTATTATTCATAGACTTGAAGAAAATTGGAGGCGGACCTGGTTTTCGAAAAATTCAAAATCGTTTGATTAATTTGGGAAGTTAGTCCCTGTCTTTTCATTCCTTGCCGTTTACAGGTACGCGTTCGGGACGAACATGAAAGCGCAAATCAAATGCATTCCCTTCAAACGCCTACCTTTGGTTGCTGATCTTCTTGGCAGCAGCCATCGTCAATTTGGATAAGGACGATTAATATCACCGATATCAGAACCGCAGCAAAGAAATTTGCGAACATGCTCCCTATATTTTCTTCACGAATGACGGTCGATTTTTACACAAATGGAATACGTATGTCGTCGCTCTGGGTTTTCTCGTTATATAATATTATGCAAAATTGCGACCGGGGACATCGTTATCGGCAGCCATCTACATTATTATTGTTCTGCTATTGTTGACACTGATGACCGGAGTAATTAGTTTAATAATATTCACTTGATGACGGTTATTTAGCGCAAATTTTCATCACGGGATGCGTTATGTGATTAAGAGAAGACAACCCCGAATTTTCCAAACCCAATATTCGCATTTTATTTGTTTATTTGTTTTCCGACTTGACGTCACAAGACAGTAAACGGTTGTTAAAGTTAAATGACTTCGTTTATATTGTTCCTCCTTGGGACGTACTAAAAAATATTTGTATGTTTCATTAAATATTATTTACAAGTATTTTCCATTACTAAAACTTTTAATACTTGGATTATAAATAACCTATTTTCCCTGTTTGGTTTTAAGTTGAATTTCCACGTTGTTCTACTGATCATCAAAATGGGTTTTTGTCACAAATTTATTATTATTTTTATAAATTGATTTTTATTTTTATAAATTTAATTATTTAATTTGGCAAACTTAAGTCAATAAAATACCAATCCGCGATTTACGCTTATCAGTTTATTTTTAAAAGTATTCACTCACGGAGCATCCACGATGTCTTCTGACTAAGTACCTTCCAAACATATACTACTCCGTTGGTGATGATAGATAGATAGATGATAGATAGTGTCTTTGGTGTGTCAATTTTGTTTCGCATCTTGTTGGGACACTATAGTACCCTAATAATTTTGTAGTTTTACATTAAGTCTCCTCTTTGCCGGCGTTCCCTTAGGTCTTCAGTCTGTGGTAACGAATGTCGTAGGTGAATTCGTGTTGCGCTCCAGCAGTTTTATATCATTGACATAGTATGGGTTCCATGGATGGTTTTCAAATATGTAAAATTGCAACCAACGAGTAAATGTTACGAAGGATCTTTGTTTACTGGCATGTGACGTCATCGTAAATTTTTGTCAATTAAGATTTTTTTTTCTTGAGATGCGGACTAATGTGCTAATTCTAACTCTAAATTGCCTATAAGTATTGAGGAGTGCGTTTTTATCGGCTTGTTTTCAGCGACCAGATTCGTCACCCTCGATTTGGGCGAGCCCTTCGAGCCGGTCGATGTCGCCCGCAGCATGCAACCGCTTAAATTCTATTACGACTTGAATTGCGAGATCGAGTCTTTCAGTTACGCCTTCGGGCCCTGTTGGGAGCCCGTTATAGCCCAGTGCAATTTGAGTTTCAACAAAATCTCGCCGTTGTCCAGAGATCCCTCGCCCCCATTGACATTCTGGGACAAAATGAGACTGCTGATGCACGGCCGACTCACTATGGTCGTGCAGCAGCTTCAGGTACTGCTGCACGCGTCCCTCGATCCTTACAATACCACCGAGGAGATGGCGCTGACGTGGGAGAAAGTCGTCATGGATTGGACCAACGGTAGCCATGATGAGCCCTATCCGCGTCGAACTACAGGTTTTTTCATTCCAGCAAAACTGGTCTTTAAGGGCGACCTTAACATATTCGTGAGGACCGCCTCTAAATACGACGACGTACAACTGTTGAAGTTACCCAACTTAAAACTGATACTGGGCTTTCAATGGGTGTGCCTGGGCGATCCCAACGACCACCGTAGCGTCGTGTACTGCGCCCCTGACAAAATCCCCGAGTATTCCAGTAACCAGGTTGGCTCCGCCCCCTGTTTAGTCGTTTGCGAAACACGACGAGTGATGTTTTTCAGGTTCACGACTCATTTAGGGCGTTCCGGTCGCAAAACCTGAACCTGAGCATCACGTTGGAGACGAAACCCTGTTCGAGTCAACCATCGAACTCGTGTCCTATCCTACTCCTCTACGGTAGCACACTGAAATGGATCGAAAGCCTCAAACTAATTCTGTCAGGTGGGAGTGCCTCGCAAGTATTGAAATTTGGAAAACGAGATTTGTTTTAGGGGTGACAAGGCCCACACGGAGAGGTCGGATATTCGGCAACCTGCGCCCCAGGAAGCAGCAGCTCAGCCGTCACTATAAAAAAGTCAATCTCCTCGTAGGTTTTCACCAGTTTCAGGTGTGCTACTGGATGTCGTTCGCGATGCATCGAGGCTGCGAACTGTTCGGGGGAAGGCTTTCGTCTAGTTCGGGTGAGTCCCGTGGGTGGAGTACTCTTAAGGCAACGGGTCCGAGCTTCGCCCAAAAAAAAAAATTGTTGTTCTAAAGTGCCTGGGAATAATGTATTTTCTGTGTCTGGCGCCTTTGTAGCCCCAGCAGGTGGTTTGGAGATACAAGAATACGGCTATTAGTTATAGGTTAGGATCGTGATTGTGTCTCTTCTTCTTGAAGACCAACCTGGCCGTCTAGTTTTCTTCAGCTATAAAAAAAATTAACCTCAGAAAAAAGTACACTTTAAAATTACGGGAAAGCGTCATTCATTTATTTATTTATTTAAATTCGTCCCCTTCAGAACATTCTCTGTCGCTGATTCCGATCGACGACGGGCTAAAGCACAGACCGAAGGCGGAGTGGTCCATCGTTTACATGAATTCGGAGCTCAACGACTCGGAGATCTGGTTAAAAAGCGCGCTGGAAGGAGAATCGGAAATCGAAACGCCCAGACTTCAGCCGGTAGAGAAGTGCTACTGTTTATCGGTGGCGAAGGTGTCCTACGGCAGGGAGGCGGTCCTTGGTACCAGTTCGGAGCGTAACAAAGATACCCCCACCCACAGGTTGGTGGTGTACGATTTGCGAGGGGCGTGGACCAAAAGCAACAGGAACGTGGTGTTCGCGTTGTTCGACGCGTTCATGAAGAACCTGGTGAGTCTACCTGCCGGTGGATAAATAGCCAAATTTCATTGGTTTCGCGCGCGCAGAGGATGAAGAAGAACTTATCGACCGAAGCGTTGAAAGGGTTCCGGAAAGACACCAACACAACGCCGCTGAAGAGGAGAAGCGATTCGACGGGAACGCCTACCAACACAGCTATCCAGGCCATCCAGTCAACGACGACGGACACCCCGTCGCCTATCAGCAAAATCCAGTCGGGTCACGCTGCCAACATGCTGCAACAGCTGATCGCCGAAGCCGACAACAATTCGATCGTCTACAGCGACGATTTGTCGGCGGTCTCGCGACAACAGCACTTGCAGGGCGTGCAGGCTTGCCAAGAGGAAGACGTCTTACATAAAAAGTGGCAGAGTAGGTTTTTGGATCGCTTATTTGGCTTGGGAAAAGAAAATTTGAAGAAGGTTTTATTTTTACACTGAGTTTCATACATGGCATTCGTTTCTTAATTGTAGGTTAAGGGGAGTTTCTTCTTCTTTCGGGTGGTAAACAGGCGTTTAACGGAATTAAATTCATTGATTTTTCTATATGAAAGAGCCTTGAAAGGAAATTTGAAATCTGTATGTAAAAGAAACAATAATTTTTATCCAGTTACCATATTTTTCGCCCAAGTGTCGCTTTTAGAGCCGTTAATATAGGTTTGGGTCACGAGTCTTCCTCTACTTGAACTTTGGCAGCGCAACTTTACTGACTCAAGGGAAGTTTTTATAAAACTTTCGATTTATATTAACTGCGACGAATATCAGAGAGTTAAGGTAACATTTAGAAAAAATATGGTAAGGCTCTCCAGTATTAATAAACGGATCTCCAAAACGGGCCGCTACCAGACGTATGACAATTCGATTTGCCTTACAGTTTCCCTGGTCAACGCGCAGGTATTGTTAAAAGGTTGCGAAACGAACGGTTACGTAATCTTAAGCGCCGCTAAAGCCGAGATAGTTCAACGTATCCACAGGCCCGCGTGGAAAGACCGTACCCTCGTCTCCAAAACCACTTGGACCGGCTCGTTGGAGTGCATGCAGTATTACGCGACCGTGAACGCCGGCGATAGCGACGCCGCCAACGGTCAGTGTCGCAACTAATACTCGCGACTCTCCGACATCGTTAACTCGACGTTCTAGAGAACATCATGTGGCTCACCGTCGACAATATACAAGAAAAGGGCTCGGCCGAAATTTCCGAACCCTCCGAAGTGCCCAACATGGTCGGTAGCGGGGTCTCGGTGGGGGCGGTCGTGAGCGACACCGTCGGTCCGAGTAGTTCGCGTCAGCTTCAACGGATCGTCTCGAGGTGTCGCTGCGAGTTCTTCTACGCCGGCTACGGCGACATCAGCGTCGATCCCGAGGGGATTGCGGAAATTCCGCCTCCGCCCCAAGAGGACGTCAGTCCCTGGGACAGTAGGCACAAGGCGGTGGACGCGTTCACTTTGATGCACCACGACCTGGACGTGTGCACGAACTCGTTGCAGTACGCTATGCTGCTCGACGTCATCAACAACCTCCTACTGTACGTGGAGCCGCACCGGAAGGAAGCGCTGGAAAAATTGGCCCGGATGCGGTTCCAGTTGCAGCTCCACAGCGTCGACGACCAGAGGCGGCCGATCCAAGAGAAACAGACACTGGTGCGCAGCACGATGAACAAACTGAGGAGACTCGAGAAGGACACCTACATGGTGAACAAGGCCTTGGAGGAGAGTCCCGAGGATTTGGACCTGCGCCACGAGCTGGATCGGTTGGAAAGACTGGTAGGTGGTCGGCCTGGACGATGTGTAAGTTAAGGCTGAGGTGTTGAGCCGATTGTTTCAGATGCACGACTGCAAAAATCACCTCAACGCGCAGAGCGAGGAGCTGGACATGATGCTGTCCTGCTATAAGGAGACGCAACTGCTGATGAACGCTCGCATGGCCACCACCAGGAGCGACAAACCGCTGACGGTGGTTAGAGCGAACGAGATATGCTTCAAGCACGCGCAGTGGCGGCTGACGGAGGCCGACGGTCAAATCGGCATCGCCGATTTAGTGTTGAGTAATTTTCTGTGAGTATGAATTGCTTCCAACACTACCTTTTACCTTCATAACTCCATACTACTGTTCTAACCTCGGTTATTTCATAAAATCTCACTCTAACCCCAATCATTTTTAAGGGTTTCTCGTCCAGCTGGTTCGCTTATTAGAGAATTTTGCACCTTTTATTTCGATGTTTTTTATTTTATCTCTTGTCTAAAGCGTGCATACTTAATAACGTTTTCCCTTGTTAACCTTTAATGCACTGATCTAATTTCGTCAAGTCGTTTCTATGGTCTATGGTTGTTACATATTTGAGTCAGTTGGCTTGAGTGTACATGTTATGGCAGACATTTAGAGATTCGTTTTTTTTTTTAAATGCAAAATATTGAAACGCGAGTGCAGTTTGACTATAATGACGGCTTAGTGCTGCAGCGCTAAACATAAATATTCTGGGACATGTTCTATCCCTAACATTATTTATTCCCAACTTAATAGAACCTTTCAGTGGAACAACGCCACAAAAATCAAGTTTTATTCCGTAATGACCAATACAGTGACATAAGTATGAAATTTCAAAAGAGGTGCAAAAAGTCCCCATTTTTCAAAAAAAAAAAGTTTAGTAGATAACGCACTACTCTATCAAGCAAACGTTCACCCTAACTTAAATCCTCTCTTCTTTCCGTGCGGTGGTTGATCAAAGGTACACAAAAAATTCGAAATCCGACGACTCCGTCGAACATTTACTGGAATTGGGTTACCTGCGGATGACAAACCTGTTGCCCAACGAAATACACAAAGAAGTCATCTGTCCCACCGAGATCCAATACGATATGCCCATAGAACACAAGGTAAACGTCGCAAGGAGTGAGATAGAGTTTCCCAATGAAAATTTTCTGTTGCAGAAAGTTTTAAGGATCTTTTGCCGGGAAAAATCGCCGGTGGGTGGTATCTCGGTCAAGGAACATTTCGAGATCAACCTGGTGCCCCTCACTATCGGTAACAGTCGAGTTTGTACGTTATTGGTTAGGGATTATGTATTGCGTAATACGTCGTAGGGCTGACGAAAAAATTCTACAACACGATGATGAAGTTCTCGTTTCCCGAAAGGGATTCGGAGAACGCGGATTATAACGATCGGGCCAGCGAAGATGGCGACGCGGAGCCAAAAAACAAGAAGAGCAAGTCTAAGAAGAAGAGCGACTCGAACTTTTACGTTCACATCGACGACGTGGAAAAGATGAAGGTACGTACGCCCCGCCCATGTTGGGTCCTAACATTTAAGGCGCATTTTGGCTATAGGAAAGGGCGGAAAAGAATAAACTCTTTGTGTATATCAAAATTCCGGAGGTGCCAGTGAAGGTGAGCTACAAGGGCACCAAGGAGAAGAACTTGGAGGATCTTCGGGACGTGTCGATCGTCATACCCACTTTGGAGTACCATAACATGACGTGGACGTGGCTGGATTTACTTATGGCGATCAGAAACGATACCAAGAGGGTTATACTGTCGCAGGTTCGATTTTCGTTCCACACTGGAACGAACGGAGGCGTTTTAATTTCGACATTTTCAGGCTATAAAGCAAAAGTTGCAAATTAAACGGAACACGGGCACCGGCGAGGACAGTTCGACGCCCCAGGACGAGGACAAAGCGAAAATGCTACTCGGGTCCAGGCACGTAAGTGACGAGGTCATTTCAAGGTCGATTTCGGATTAAAATAACGTAAAAATTGTTTTTTAGGCGCCCGAAAACAGGAGCACCCGGAAAAAGGTGAGCGGCGTGTTCGGTTTCGGCAAATGACGAAGGGCCGATAAACTATAGCCGGGCGACGGGAATTTTGTAGGTTTAGGCCGCTACGAAACATGAAACGCTTCATAATTTATATTTATTTTCGTAACGATGTGGATAATCGGTATTTATTAAATGTTATTTTTGAGAAATGTTTGGTTACTTGCGGAAAAATTTTCAAAATACGAGGTTCCGGTATTTTTAACCAGATCTCATATAGCTGCTAGATATATAGAGGCCCTTCCCAACGTTGATAATACAGGAATTTTGATGAAAATCCATTTTTCAAAATAAATAAGAACTAAAAGTTCAGATTTTCACGAAATTATTTCGACAACACCGACATTTGATAAAGACACGGTGTTGTAGAAACAATTGTCATGTAAATATATATAATTTCGTGAAAATCTGAACTCTTAGTTCTTATTTATTTTGAGAAAAATATTTTTTAAAATATCTTATTGATTGATAGATCTCCCAACGTTGATAATACAGGAATTTTGATGAAAATCCATTTTTCAAAATAAATAAGAACTAAAAGTTCAGATTTTCACGAAATTATATATATTTACATGACAATTGTTTCGACAACACCGACATTTGATAAAGACACGGTGTTGTCGAAACAATTGTCATGTAAATATATATAATTTCGTGAAAATCTGAACTTTTAGTTCTTATTTATTTTGAGAAAAATATTTTTTTAAATATCTTATTGATTGATATATCTGTCACCCACCAACCTGCACTTCGCATTATTTTCTTTCTAAACAGTGATTCCCACACACTTCACTAATTTTCGCAGAACATTTTAAATTTCGCGCATGCGCATATTCAATGAAGCTTCTCCATTTTTTTTCATAGTTACTTCATAAGTTCCTGTATTATCGGCATAGGTAGGTATCTATATGCTTTCAACCAATAAGACCTACCGCTGTTAAAGAACTAACATGGCCGCTGACAGTTCGTCCTTTGGCAGATTTCAGTTAGATGTTACATTTTTGAGGCAGTATTTTCTCAAGATATACCCAGATCTCGTTATATATTGTGAGAAAACAAATTAAATGTGTGCAGATCGCAGTTTACAAAGACAATGGCGCAAGTTAGTGGGTGAAATTTAGAGACATGCGCGGAGGATCATTCCCATCTCTGATAACTGTATACCAAATCTAATTAAAACTAATCATTCCTAAGAAAAGTGAACACTGTAATGATGAAATTTGTCCTGAAATATACCGCGATTTGAATGATTTATTCTTACGATGATCTCTGAGACCGAATAAACGGGCAGTGCCGCAGATTATGTAATATATTAGTAAAAAACGTATTTTGAAAATTATACGTAGAACTGTTTCGAGATGTCGCCTTTGGCGCATTCGCGAAAGATGTTTCCGTAGCCGCTGCGGTCTGTGACTGAGGAATTACGCTACCAATAAATATCTGACTTACGAGACTTGTGATCTGAACCAACCAAAGTTCATTAAACGAAGTGTAATTTGCGCAGGTAGGTTCGCTGTGATTTACACGAAATTTTCGCGCTCCCGGTATGCAGGCACAGCATTTTTCTCGCGAACATTGTGTCTTAAGTGTCTGGTGGGAATTGCTTGAATAATATTGATCTGGACGCCGAGTTTGCATTTCTTCCGATAGAAGAAAATCGGTAAGTACTTTTATATAAATCACGCAGAGTGTGCAAAAAAATTATTGAGCATGTAATATGTTGAGTGAAAAATTTTATTTAGGGTTTTTGGTTTTTATATTGTTTGTTTTCTTCTTACCAAAGCTATATAAAATCATTTGACTAGCAGGGTAAAATTTATACACGCCAAATAAAATGTACGAATTTATTTGGATACAGGATTAATAATTGCACCAGAAACAACATAATTAAATGATACGGGTGCAAACATGTAGATTCGGGGGCTCTAAAATAACCCTTAATATATTGGGAGACAATCTGGGATATGCGAAAAACTTTATTTATCAAAAAAAAAAAATAAAAAATTGAGCCCCAGGATCTGGTTTGCCATAAAATATAACCAATATACATTGGTGTAAATACATATAACTTAGAAGATTGCTGTACAAATAAAATATTCTTTAGGTCCGGCCATAAATAAGTGAAAATATAAGTATTACGTATATATAATATATAAACATCTAAACTATATACAAATAAAATGGAACTTACATCCCTAGTTTGATGAAAAATCAATACAAAATATACACCTTTCGGATTTTCATGTACAGTATGTCCAAAAAATATGTTCCTCAGTCAATCCGCACCTTGAGACCACATCCACCTGCCCAACATAATAAGGCCCCATTCACTTTAAGGATATATTAGCCCCTCCTACCTGAAGCTGGGCGGTATACCTTTCAGATCTAAAACCCACTGACTTGGACCAAATATGATCAAAAAGGCCAGATATTGCACTTCAATTGTTTTTGAGGATTAAAATTTCAACAATCCGATAGGGTCCCAAAGAACCTTAAAATTCTTATGCCTATCCTGTGATGTACCGAATTTAAAAATTACTTTACAGTCATTCAGGGCCAAATTTAATTGATTTTATATCTTAGACATCTACAAATCACACCAGAAAAGTGAAGTTCAGTGTACTACCGACGAAAGCTGAATCCATTTGTACCATCTGGTCCCTTAGGTAACCTAACTATATTTTCACCTTCTGTGTTTCTTAATTTTATGGCTTCCGGCTCTGAAGCACTTGGCTTGGCTGTCTCAAATTCTGAATTTCTCGGTTTCGCTATACTAATTCTAAATAAGGATTATGAAATCACCACATCCTTTAAATCATAATACTATATACTACATACCTCTCTTCAGGTCGATCTGAACCACTTTCTCCTAAAATTCTGAGTCTGGCTTCTGCATATTCTTGTTCACGTTGCTGTAATGTTTTTTTAGGCACCGCCTTTTTTAAATCCCGGTGACCCTTAGCGTCTTTCGTGGGCCTTTTCAGTATTTTTACTGTGGGTTCAGGTGGTACATACTGAGATCTTAGCGCATCCTCTCCTGTTATAGTGATTTGTATAGGAGCATTGTTAGAAACACCATTTAAACTGCAATGGAAATTATTTAGGGTTTGCTCTTATTCATAAGGACCACTGTTACCTATTGCCGCTTATAGTAGGCATTATTAATTTGCTTAACTTCTTTTCTAAAACCTAAAACAAAAAATAACCTAAAATTACCTTTCAAAAAATTTATATTCAAATGTTTTGTAGCTGGCGCTACTCCTTACATCAGTCTCATCGATTTCCTCCCAGCTATCAAGCTCCAAAATTTCAATATCTTGCTGTTTAGAAGCCATGATGGGACCCATTTGTCACCCACATGTCAAACTTACTGCAAATTTACCATTTTTCTCTTAAATTTTTTAGTTCCCGGACGCTTAAACCGTGCTTCAGAACAATCGTCGTGACGGCATTGTGTTAAACATTACGCGTATCATTTTTTTAAAAAAAAATGTTCACAAAAAACGTCAAATTTTTTTTACCACAAAAGTAGCTTTGCAGTGCGACATAATCGTGTGCATTCCGTGGTATAGAATTCGATACGGACTGTGTATTCTGTGCTGCGGTTGCGGTAACCAACCGTTATTGACAATTGACGTCATCAACTGGTCTTTTGTACTACGGTTAACATGTATTCTTCTTGGTGGCTATAATATTTTTGTAGAGATGGAAATAATTTTCCCCGCATGCATGTACATTTCACACACTAACCTGTAATGTGCGCCATTTTCTTTCTAAAGAGCGCGATCTACGTTTAACTTGTTTTCCCAAAACTCGTAAGGATCTAAGCATATTTTGAGAAAATAATGTTCTGGTCTGTTCAAAATGTCTCCTTTATTATTTCATATATTGAAATTAGAGTTAATTTCATTTGAGGATTTTCGCCGGTATCTGTAGGACAAACAGCATAATAGCCCAGATTAAATCGCAAACTCTCTATTATTACTCATTTGACAGGACGCAAACGCTCGCGTTTTTAACTTAAGTTTAACTTATTTAATTTAAATCATTCTTGCGCGCCTCTCCGGCAGCTTCCACCATAAGGTTCAAACCTAGATCCAAAAATTTGTTCCAAGTCGCAAGTTCTTCATTGGTCATTATCGGCTTAAACATCTCCATCAAAACCTCTTTCAGTTGCTGAAAGAAAAAAAAATGTTATGAGATCACAGACCACAAACGCGATCGCCCCGTGTATTATATACCCAGTAAGCTTTGTCCGGCACTTTCCTTGGAACGTGCGCAACCGCCTGCTTAACCAAAAGCGCCCGAAGTAAATGCGGCTGCTCGATGTTACCTATAATGGAGCTGAACGCGTACATCAGCGTTACACAGTGCGCCTTGAACCGATTGCAGGAGGGTAAATCTTCCCAGGGAATATCGCGGAATGGAAACAGGTCGTGATACTTTGGTTCTTTTTCGAATAGACTGTAATATAAATATCCTAGCTCCCATAGATCCCCTCAATAGGGTTATATCGATGGAGACCTGACAATCGCGATATAGATATAGATTTAAAAGCTATTAATACGCCTTGACGTTTGGCCATAGGCATGGATTTTGACATTTTGACTGTTTTAAAGCATACAAGTGTCATACAGTTTTACGACATTTAGTGCGAGTTGGATCAATTTATCACTGACTTGTCTGGTCTCCTTCGGATATGACGCCATCATTTGCTTCGATAAGCTTACTTCAAAAATATTTGTATGCCCGTGGCAGCACTGTCTTTACTTAGTTTTTGCCAGGTGGATTTTAGTAAGTAGCGATCTCTCGATGTGAGTCCGGTGTCCGGATCGGGATCGTCGGTCCTCCCGTTATTGCGCCAAATCAGACTTGTTATCAGACCCATGTCACGTGTCGTTTTGCATTCGAATCTACTAGAAAGTAATTTTCATATAAGTAACATAGTAAGATATCCTAAATATTTAATAATTTGTAGATAAAATCGGCAGGCACGTATATTTATTAGAAAAATGCCACTTTTTCTTTCCCACAGATACTCGAAATTATTAAGTATTATAGAATGAAATTATACAACTGTTTTAGCATCGATTATTTTATTCACGTCACGAAACAGCCGTTCGCAAAACGGCCCCGTTTAAATAAAATCGCTAAAAAAACTATAACCGGTCCGTATACGAAAGATACACAAAACAGTGACGTCACAAAAATTGTCCGACGAACTAAAATTATTTCGCGTTCTTGATGCCCTCATCGATCTGGGCGAAGGCCACATCCAAAGTCTTGGTCCAGGCCGCTATTTCTTCCTCGTTCATAAACGTCGAGAATAGTTCCACGACGCAGTTTTTCAGACGCTGAAAAAATGAGAAACTTACTAAACTTACAACGCATACCATCCGAAATATTCGAGAAACTTAAATATTTGCCCATGTTCTTAGGCAACCAGGTAATCAGACGGGATTCCGTTCGACAATCTACCGCAAGGGGGCGCTTGACGAGTTCCGTCATTTTACATTGTGTCAAATTATTTGTGTGATTCAAATTGCGTGTTAGTTTCAATTGAAATTGTAGAACGTGCTTTGTGCATTATAATTGAGGCTTATCGAGAACGTTCGGTAATAAAAAGAAAGGTAAAAAAACTTACGCCACAAGTTTAAATTATGCGGACACGACATACAGCAAGATTCAGAATTTTCAGAATAGACCAAGAATAGACCAGTAGTCTCCTGTTAAGAGTAGTCTTTTTAATGAAACAACGGCTTCTATTAACTTCTATTACATTTTGCGACCATACCTGATACGCATTTTGCAGGTTTTTCGGGGTTTTAAAAACTCCACAGTGGTTTAACTTTTACATTTTTGGTACCAGCGGATATTTGAATTGAAATTGTTAATTCTCTTCATTTCTCCAAATAAAAACGAAATATGGATTAGAAACAAAGTTTGGAAGTTAGTGGTGGATTTTGTTTAGGAAACTAGTGTGAATTATGACGTAGCTATACCGTCAAAATGTGCGGAGCTGGGGTTGCCAACCGTACTATATTATCCAATATTGTACTATATGTGTCTGCGTCATCTTATACCGTTTAAGACGTGTGTAGTACGCAAAAACAAAACTGAAATCTTTTTTTGGAACAGGCTTATAAAATCTTATCACTGTACGTTCTTACATAGATTCTCCTAGTTTTGATCGAAAACAACAACAGATAAAAAATTGGAAAACGTTTCCAAGTTTCAGAAAACGCTTTTCCCGAATTGCTTAAATTCATTTTTGCTGTCTATTTCAGTAACATCTTTTGTCCAGTGAACAAATATGGAACCGAATAACAAATTAATAAAAAACATTGAGGTTGTTTTTGCGCGACATATAAAGTTTTGGTTAGTTATTTTGTTGTAAAGTTATTTTGCAATGCAAGTCCGAAAAAAATGTATAAATTTTAAATATAAATACATATTTATGTAACGAGTTTTGTTTCCGAACGTTCTACCGAGGTGTACTATATTTTGTTCCAGTGTACTGTATTATTTTCACTGTTATTTCTCAAAATCTAAAAACGGTTGGCAACCCTGGATGGTCTATTCTCCCTCTTTAGACGTCTATATGCGGTTTCGTGTAGGGTCGGGCACTTACGTGAAAAGCTTCGGGCGTGACTTTTCTGGCCACGTGACTGCTACCGGTCTTGCGCAAGAGGTGTATCAGCAGGTCGTTGTCTCCCAGGGCGTCCACTATGGACGCGAGAGCAAACACGACGCTGTTGCAGTGAGCCTGGAATCGTTTGGCCTCCCGCAGTTCCGAATACGGCACGTCCCGAAACGGGAACAGCTGAATGTACTCGGGGTACTTTTTGAACAACCTGGGGCAGTCAGAAAACAAAAATGCAAAAAAAAAACAATTCGAATTTGGAGCGGCGCCGCTGCGTCACTGGGATTTTTTTATTAATCCTGCGTACGTTGCCGCATTTTTTCGATAAGATAAAAAAAATCGATATGCCTGAAGATTATCGAACGAAATCTTCGTCATCATCTTCCGCGAAGTAAAAAATTTTTCGCTATGGACTTTTTGCACCTCTTTCGAATTTCACCCCGTATGGTGGCGCCGTTGGTTATTAACGGGTTATGGCGTTTTTAGTATTGGCACGCTTCGTTTCTCTATTAAGTTGAAGAGTAGGTTAAAATGTGTTTTTAGTAATGGAAGATGTAGAGGAACGCGAAGCACGACTTTATAAGAAACATTATTTTGCAAAACAATTTTTGGGCAGACCTCCTATTAATGTATCAATTGACCGGTTAAATCTTGATATTTTTCTTTAAACGATAATTTAAACTATCGTCCTATAAATGGTCTTATTGTACAAGCTTTGTAGAAATACTAATACAATACTAAACATTGCATTGAATTTATGGCATTACCGTGTTAAAACTTAGTCGAGAACAGTTTGTAATGTCAGCGGACAAAAAATAAGTCCTCTGAAAGAGCTTTTTCATATTTGAGATTATTAAATCCGACACCATGGCAAACGCTGTTGCCGGATTTATATCTGTCACTATTTCGGAATGTCATGCGGCAACCATTATAATGAGTATTTTTCCTATTTGTCCGTCGACCACGAGATTAATTCTTGAAATAATGTCATTTCGATAGCACCCTGTACAGAAACGATTTCTTTGAAGAAGAAAAAAACTGTCGTAATAAACATATTTAAATGGTGGCAGTTCTATGGTACACCGAAATAAAAACCAAATAATTTTATTTTTACATTTATAACAATTACTATTTGCTATTTTCGCAACTTGATGCGTTGCTACTGGCAACGCCGCCTGCGCTTTAAGCGTTTTAGCGTCGAACTTTATTTCTTAAGTAAAGAAAAACGTCGTTTCATAAAGTGTGCGCGCGTTTCAAATAAGTGGCAAAGTAAAGCAATTCCGAAATAAGCGGTGTGCAAAAACTACCTAATTTTTGTGATGCCGATCGACTAGATCATATCCGAAAACCATCCCTTTCGATTTTTTTCTTAGGAATATGAATGGAGGAATCTAGCAGATTTTTACGTAATATTACAATAACAAAAATTAACTGTTAGTTTCTTTGAAAAATAAAATTTCTACACAGTGCAGTGGCGTGTTAACGTTAATCGAATTAAATCCAAGCCGGAGTTGCCAGGCTGTTATTGAACCCATGCAGGATAATGGCGGATTACTTCTTATTATACTCTGTTTCTCAATGCAAGAGAGTAATAATATATAAATTTGTAATGACGAGGATGATTAAACAGGGTGGACAACTTAAAGGTTATATCGTAAAGTTCCGGCGAGCTACCACAGATAGAATAATAAATTTAATAATACTTGATAATAATTATACAGATTATTCTGAGATAAAGTAAATAAAAACTTATATAGAAGTAAGAATAATATGAAAAGAGATTAATTGTAATAAATATGATAATTATTGAAAATTTTCTGTAAATTTTAGTCATGACGTTTCAAGTAGTCAGATGAACTATAGTCGTTAGTCGTCCAGAAAAATAATAAAAGGCTGTGTAGTGTTTTCTAGCGTGTTATCGCCTTCCTACATTCATAGGGAATTCTTGCTGGGGGTGGAGTTACCGAATGTCACTTACACTCGCTCACTCACGAGCATTTGTTTAATTCTTGTGCTTTTATTCTAGTGGAAGATCCTTGCATTTACCCAAGTTTGTTCCAGATAAAAATAGAAATTTCTGTTTTTCCTTCGAAATCGTCTAACTACTATCAAATATCGTCGCCGCCAGCAGAAAATTTCATCTTTCACTTTTTTTGTAACGAAAATTTATTTTCTTCAAAGTTTTCCACCCATGGGTGGAACGAAATCGCCATTTTTTTTTGTTTTTTGTTTTTTTTTTTAATGTTCCACATCGTCCTTGCCCCACGTATTATCCCAAAAGAGGAAATCATTTCAAATGTCGAGTCTATCCTAAACAAACTGGCATCTAAAAACCTCCTAAATCTAATATTGCAAAGCCTGAACGCATTGCCGTAAAAGCAGATAAAGGAAATTCTACGGTGTTCGTGAACACAAATGAATATCATGAAAAGATTCAAGATATTCTTACGTACGGATCATATCGTCAAAAATCCACATGACTCTAACATTCCTCGTCTCTGCGGACTCCCAATGAAAAAAAAAAACAGAAAATATTCCAGTTAGTTTCGCCGTAGAATCGCTCTTTACTAATGTTCCTATTCCTGAAACTCTCACCATCATTTCAGCTATATTAAAAAATGCTTGCCTGGAACATATTTTTCTTACAACGGTCAAATTTTTGGACAAACGTCGGGAACAGCTATCACCTGTCATCGCGAATGTATTTATGGAAGCCTTTAAGAAGAAAGCTCTCGACACCTTTCATCTAAAACAAAAATTATGGAAGCGCTACGTCGGTGATACTTTTATTTGGCCACAGTGGCAAGTGAAGGATTGCTTTCGGTCTCATTGCTATTGGAAGGTTGTGGTGTGAAGGTGCGCCCTCCTCAAACAATGTATAAGCAGGGACAGAGTGAAATACGAGCCAGTTTCAGTCAAGCTCTGAAGAAGCCAACAGGATGATTGGCGAAAGGTCAGCAATTTCGACTCAGCAAAAACCGACGCAGGAGGAATCCAGAAGTTTTGTAAAAAGTATTACAGTAGTGGAAGTTTATTTAAAAATCTATAAGCAACCTAACAATCTTAACCGCGACTCAGGTCTTTACCTGTCACCAATATGGGAATCACTTACCCAAGACGGTGTTTATGCTCCTCATTTAGCTCCGCACCCTCAAACAATATATAAGCAGGTAAAATGCGAGAAAGTTTCAGTCAAGCTCTGGGGAAGCCAGCGGCATTATTGGCGAAACGTTGGTAAATATATTCGCGCGCTACATTCGCGTTCAATGTTCTGGCACAAAGATGGTCGAATGTCGACCAGGAAGTGTACGCATGTTTTATAGATTATACAAAGGCCTTTGGCAACGTTAAACATGAGAAGCTTTGAAACATCTTACAAAACCTAAACATCGATTATGACGACATGCAAATCATTTCAAACCTTTACTGGGGACATCAGCACATCAGAAGAAATGCAAATCCAAAAAGGTGTCAGACAGGGCTGTATTCTTTCTCCAATGCTATTTAACATTTACTCAAGAGCACATCTTTCGAGAGGCGTTGGAGGAGGAGTCGGCAGGAACCTTAATTAACGGTAGAGCAATAAACAATATTAGATACGCCGATGACACTGTTCTAATTGCAAGCACACTAGAAGACCTGCAGCGACTGGTGGACAAAGTGGCAATCATTAGCAGGGAATATGGACTCGCCATCAATGTGAACAAAACCAAACAGGAAATAACCAAGGGCAATTATTTACAGCAGACTGTTGAGCGGGTGGTGCAGTTTAAATACCTCAGAACAATTATAAGTCAAGATATAAACCATAGGTCTGAAACAATAGCAAGAATAGAACAAGCTAGGAAAACATTGATTAAGATGAAGAAACTTCTTACAGCTAGAGATTTGTCGCTAACTTTAAGAACAAGAATGGTACAGTGCTACATGTTCCCTAGAGGGTTGAACCTTAAATAGCGAAACTTTAAAAAGGTTAGAAGCATTTAAAAAGTTGGTCTACAGACCTGTGTTGAGGATTTCGTGGATGGATTGGTTCACGAATCAAGAGGTTCTGCGTAGAATGAATAAATAACTTCAAGTCTTGTTTAGTATAAAGAAAAGAAAACTTGAATTCCTTGGACACATCTCACGGAGCTCGGAATATGATCTGTTGCAGCTCATAATGCAAGAAGTGTGCGTCGACGTAGGATCTCCTGGCTGCGCAACCTGCGAGACTGGTTTGAATTGTCATCGATTGAACCGTTTCGCGCATATCGAAAATAAGAACAGCCATGATGATCAGCAATCTCCCACGGAGACACTGAAATCAAGAAGAAGAAGAATCTTGACCGTGAGCGGACAGTGAGCGTCCTGTGACTTGAGCGGCTAGTGGAAATTGGACTTAAGGTACAGGTCAATCACTTGTGCGTTTACCTGCCACTCTCGGGACCCTTGACATCACTATTTATAACTCTCCCGCATTAAGAAACGGAGCATGCATTGTTTCCAAAATACTTACAATAAAAGCAGGGCGCATCCGTTGGCCGTCGGGTTCTTCATCACGTTAGCCCAGGAGGTCTTCACCAGGTACTTATCTCTGGACGTCAGACCGGTGACGGCGTCTGGATCGTCGGTCCTGCCCGTGTCCGGGAAGAAATAGCCGTACACGATACCCATTTACGTGCTGAAACGACCACACGACAATCGAGATCGTATGCTATAGCGTCCCGACTTACCGCTCGCGACGTCTTTCGTATTATAATCGACGGCACCAGGTACAAGACCTTCGGAATACGCGTGACGGAGCCGCGATTACCGCGAAATTCGCGATCGGAATTCGCGGAAATCGAATCGGCACGAGACGTTGGGAAAATTCGCGCAATAATACGCGAGAAACTATTTTTGGCGCGCATTCAATGCGCGCGAAATAATAAAAAAGAAGAAGAAGAAGACATACGCTTAGAGATGCGGCTGCGCCTGGGCCCGCCTTCAAGGCCGCTTCGATGTTGTCGAAGCCAATTCGGATGTTATTGTTTTAAGTTCGCTTTTGGTTAACCTCGACCGTTGGGTCTAACGAGGAACGAATTTAATTGGCCGTCCGATTAGGAATACCAATTTATTATTTGCCGGTTGATATTTTTTGTTTTTAGATATAAGTGTTGAGGATATAATAAAATGACGCATCTGTGCGGCACAGACCGTGTACGCTGAGAGAAGAAGCGCAACGGTTTTTTCTCACTTCTGTTGCATAAGTCAGTCACTTCGTCCGTCCTGTGTTAATTAAACTTATGGTGATTTGTGGTCTTCATCGAACAAATTGACTTTGAACTTTTGTTGATTTTTTTACACTCAAAAATGTAGAATTTAATCTCTAATGGTTGCTTTATTGTTGCCAGAAAATTTTTAACTTAGTGATAAGAATTCGTTAGAAAGTTTTTCCTAGCTAGTTTGACAATTTTGGCAGAAAATTTTGAAACATAGACAAATTTCGTTGACATTTCAATGTTATTTGTGGTCATATAGGTACAATTTTTAAGGAGTTAGCAATCACTTCCAAAATATTTCATTTTTTATGTTTCCTTTATAGTTTTAAATAATTAACACACCAATCATAAAACTACATTACTTCAAATTTGACTTTGAGCATTTGTTGATTTTTTTACACTCAAAAAATAGAATTTTATCTCCAATGCTTTCCTCTCCGTTTTTGCTCTAAACAAAAATCCGGACATTTCACGATGTTCCATGACTTTTCTTCCATGCAATAAAGTTGCCAGAAAATATTTAACTCAATAGTAAAAATTCGTTAGTAAGCTTTTCAAACCTAGTTTGACACTTTTTACACTAAATTTTGAAAATTATACAGCACTTCCGAAATATTTCATTCTTTATGTTTACTTTATAATTTTAAATAAATAACACACCAATTTATAAATGTACATAAATTCAAATTGTTCATAGAAGGAACCCGAGCATTTTCGACCACGTTCCAATTTTTCAACTTAACCTAACTAATTCGAGTTGTTTTTATTTGATTAGTAAAACTCCGAGTGATCAAAAACTAATCACAGCAATTATTAATCATTATTTCGTTTAACAAAACGCGAAGCACAGATAAGTGTATATTATTTGAAAAAGAAAATAAGCAAAATTCTTTATTTGCTCTAAAATATTATTTATGATTATTAAAAATTTCGTATTTAATGTAAGAAAAAACAAAAGCAGGATAACATACAAAAAGTTGATTTCAGCATGTCCGAAAAATAATCCGATATTAATCAGATCGATTCGTGTTCTCTCAGTGTACAGTGTTGTGTAAGTAATAAAATAAATAATTCAAATCTCGATCGCGACATTTTTTATTGACGTTACTGTTTAGTTAATTTTACTCTAACCAATAAATTATACGGAAAACCTATGTTGTCTTCATAAATGTAGTTTTTATACATTTTGCTGAGCTTGTGAAAGGACTAGTTTAGAAATGTAATGTGTGTTGCCGGCGACCCTAGTCTCCCACGGGACACGGGGGTCGCCGTTTATCTCAAATTATTCCGGCCACCAGGCGGAACTTAATACTAAACATATAATTTACCGTGAATTTGGCAAGTATGCCGATGAAAAGTGATCCTACTCTAGTTATACGTTACCGGGAAAGAAATCGATGCCGCCTCGCCAAAGATATGTACACTATAAAATGAGTTTTACGCTTTTTCGTTGTTATTAAAATGTGTTCCGCGAAACTTTCGCCAAAACCAATAAACCGAGCGGGTATTTATAAATAGGAGTCAAATAATTTGTCGGATACTAATCGGTAACAAAATACACGCCGGACGATAGTATTTCTATGCACCAGTCTTGTGACCGGCCGATAACCGCGTCGCTCTCAAAAACAAACCGAATAAACAAAATATTGCAACAAGTCGGTTTTATCGAGGCTATTGATTACCTGGAGACGTTGTGCAACGGTGAACGCGCGACGCACTATTGAAAATTATTAAGACACGGTTTCCGGCCGCTTTTATACCTAACTGGCGGAGCCGATTAAATTTGATCTAAAGGCGGGAGGTTTCGGACGATACACGCATACATAAAAGGCACTATCAACGACCTTATACCAAATAAAATGTCATTGGGCACCATATAAAGGGCCGACAACTGCCGATCAGGATGGTGGGTTTTTCTAGGTATGCTATTTTCGACAAATATCACGCGGTTCGGCCGATAAGATCATCTTTGGTACTATAATCTGTTTCCCTGAAGTGTCGACCAATAAAAAAAATGCGTCCTTTAGGGATCGGCCATGGGTGTAACGTGCAATGGAATAAGATCCTTAAATCTTATTAGACGAAATGGAAGCATACTAGTAATAGTAACTAACTATAATCCATTAGCACCGTTAACACTCTTGTGATCTTTTGCATGCCAATGTTTTTTTTATTACTCTAACTTCACGGAAGCAGTCGGTACTACGTATTATATGTACTATAATTGTACCTGGTCAAATATATTCACGCACTAGCCGAAAATCGTAACAGTATTCTTTGGCGGATGACGCGTCCGCAGGTAGAAAAGGTCGTCAGTACCGTTAAAATTAACACGCCCCCGTATTCTAAGCCGTACCGGCTCATTCGCCAAAAAATAGAATCGTCCACGTGCATTAGGAGAATAGAAAAGATCCCTTTAAAGATTGTGGTTTGCATGAATTGCCCGATGCCCTTGCTATAATACTGCTTTTACCACTTTTTCAATTTGCTTCTTGTATATATCACGGACTATGGATAGTCGTGACGCGGACCTTTTTGACAACTGTCAACGGTCTGTCGTCAGATGGGTGATCCTCCGTTCTGCATGCATCATGGAAGTTTTATTGTTTCTTTTGTGTTATTGATTCTTCATCATGTAATGTTTTATTTTCTTTTCCGACATAAATTTAATTTAACACGAATGTGTAGTGCGACGAGTTGAATCATCGTCTACTTTGATTCTGTTGGCCATAACCGCTGGGTTCATTTGGCCATTTCCGAATAGACTATTAAATAGAGAACGTTTTAAAACCGTAGTTTGTTATTTAAAATTTATTCCGTACTGTAGTGTAGGAGCAGCTACTTCTGTTGCTGGCAGCAGTGAATTAAATTGATGAAAGGGGACCAAATGCATAAAAAAAAACATAAGTAAAATCGCGTTTATTTACCAAGTAGTCGTAATATTTACACAATTACTAGAAAAACTATACATTTACATGTCTAAATTCGTCCTTGGTTTAGGCGCCAGTTTTAAATGGTAACGTGAGCGGGCACCCGATCAATATGATTTATACCCTAAATTACTATCAGTCAAAGTAATAATAAAAAAATTATAAGAGACTAAAACATCAAATAACCATATCGTCCCTAAATTGCTACATATTAACATTTTTAAAAGAACCTCTAAGCCGTCTTGAATACCGACGCCTTTTGCAGGAATTCTTGCCTCCTCGTCGCCCTCTCCTCCTCCATCCGCTTCCGTTCGTTCTGTTCCTGGCGTATTTCCTCTTCGAATTTGCTCTTCTTCGACAGTTCGCCGATCTAAAAGCAATCGTAATTATAACACCATCGAGGTAACAAAATTACCGTCGTCGCACCTTGGCTTCGAAAAATTCCTTGGCCCCCGTGACGCCTACTTTCTCGACGTCGACCTCCGCCAGACGGGCCAGCTGACCCAATCCCGATTCTTCATCAAGCTCCCCCGCACGCGCCTTGCGGAACACCATCATGAACTCGTGAAAGGACAACCGCCCGTCGTTATCTTCGTCTACCTACGAAAATGAATTTTCATTGTTTTTTTTTATTAAAATTAAAATACACTAGACGCGCGAACCTCTTTGATCATTGCCTTGAGACCGAGGTGAGTTTGGGGCGCCCCGAGGACTTCCATCATACGTTTCAGTTCGTCCAAGCTCAAATAACCGTCTTTGTTCGTGTTGAACCTGCAATAGAGCGTTACGCATCGATTAGCGCGTGGGCGGCAATTTTTTTTCGAAATATTTTTAGCTTTTTTATCTGTTACGGGAATTTTCGTAGCATAAGCCTAATCAGTCTGGCGATAGATAAAAACGCCGGAAGCGCTTCCCCGATAAGACGAAATATTTGTTTATGCGACGCGTCATTTTTCCCCAATTATTCCTCGAACGACGGACGCGTCGGCAAACATCCTTCGCGTTTGGAAAAGGGCGTGAAATAGGAAATTTCGAAAACCGTGACGTCACGCCGCACGTCCGGCAGACCATAGATCAATAAAATAGTTTGCGTAGGAAAGTCCGATGCGTTGTTGTCAGTTACGTATCCACTAAGACGATCATCATCAAGAGAGAGATGTGCAACCCGTACTAAATAATCAAAGTGACAGCGCGACGGCGTTCTTGTTACGCGCTTTTTTATTATTGAGCAATTATACGGACCACGATCGATGTAAACTAAAATCGTCCTTAACCGCGCGGACAACAGACCACGCCGGCAACGTCGCTTGACGTTTCTCTCCGCCGCACAGCTGATCCGAGACAAGCGGTGGAAATGTTTACGTGTCGCCCGTCAGTTCGCTGACGGTTTTAAGTTTCCCGGAGATAAACAACTCCAAATTATCAGTGGTTTACGCCAAATTTGCCGGCCGAAATGTTATCACGCGTCGCGCATCATGCAACGGCCCGATACGTTACGCCTCCTCGTGTATCTCGCGATACTTAACGTCGGTCTCGCGTTTTTCAACGTGCCTCAGAAAACCGACGAATGTTTCTGCCAATTGAAGGGAAAAATCGACGAGTGCACCTGCACCGTCGACACCGTCGACCACTTCAACAACGTGAGGGTGTTCCCCCGGCTCAGGAGTCTGCTCGTCAAAGACTACTTTCGGTTTTACAGGGTGAACTTAAAGAGGGAATGTCCGTTTTGGAGCGACGACAGCCGTTGCGCGATGCGTTACTGCCACGTGGAACCGTGCGGCGAGGACGAGATCCCCGCGGGCCTGAAGGGCGAACGCCGCCGCGTGAAACGCGACTTATACGGCCCCGAAAATGACAAAGAGTGCACAGTAAACGACTTGGATTATTTAAACAAGACGTTGAGCGAGAAAGCTATCCACGATATGGAACTGTGGGCCGCGCACGACGACGCCCAAGACAACTTCTGCGTAATCGACAACAATGATCCCGACGCCGAATATGTGGACTTGCTGTTGAACCCGGAGCGGTACACGGGATACCAGGGACCTTCGGCCCGTCGCGTATGGCGCAGCATTTACTTGGAGAACTGTTTTCGGCCAGAGAGGAGCCACAGCTTTACGTCATATATACAAAGCGATAAGCTGAGCGACATGTGCTTGGAAGAGAGGGCATTTTACCGTGTCGTTTCTGGTTTACACGCCAGCATCAACATACACCTCTGCGCCAACTATTTACTGTCCCACTCGTCCGGGTTGTCCCTGGTAGATCCGAACGGCGAATGGGGTCCCAATTTGGAAGAGTTTAAGATGAGGTTTTCTCCAGAAACGACCAACGGCGAAGGACCGTTCTGGTTGAGGAACCTCTACTTCATCTACCTCGTGGAGCTCAGGGCTTTGGCGAAGGCGGCGCCGTATTTGGAACGCGAGACGTTTTATACGGGCGACGAGTCCGAAGATTGGGACACCAGGATGGCGATCAAAGACCTGCTGTCTGTAATCACCAAGTTCCCGCACCATTTTGACGAGACGACCATGTTCAAGGGCTCGCGGGAGGCGGAGAAATTAAAGTACGAGTTTACGCGCCATTTTCGTAACGTCACCAGGATCATGGACTGCGTCGGGTGCGACAAGTGCCGCCTGTGGGGTAAACTGCAGACCCAAGGTTTGGGTACCGCGCTGAAGATTTTGTTTAGCGGCAAGTTCGACTACGAGAACGGCGTGTTGTTGAACAAGAAGGAGATGCAGCTGCAGAGGAACGAGATAGTGTCGCTGTTCAATGCCATCGGAAGACTGTCAACCAGTATTTACAAGCTGGACGATTTTCGCCAGATGATGAGGTAACCACCCGAGCGCTCAAGAGGCATCTCTTATTTGCAAAAAAGATTAAGGATGAATTTCAACCTGCTTTAAATACCTCTTCTTAGGTGTGTGTAAGTACTTAATAAAAATAAATGCGTTTTTTTCTCTGTCAATTTTCGGAATAATTCATCCCTTTCACTATTAATTTGGTTTCCTAACAGGCTTTTACTTAATCTTTTAACGCATACGTCCGAGCTTTAAGTGGAGGTTAAATGAAAAGTCTGGTTTCCTCCTTTGTTTTGTTTTTCTTTTTTTAAAATTATGAATGTGTGGTTAGGAATTGGCCAAAAACCGCAAATTTCTCTCTAATTTCCTCTCTACGATTTCCTCTGGTGGGGTTAGACAAGAGTAGACGTCGGAATGTAATTATCAAGATAAATCGGTTAAGAAAAAAAATGTAAAAGTTGACAACCCATCACGTGTTATATATTGATCGGATAAACTTTTAATTCCCTTCTTTATTGTTGCTGCTTTTGTACTATTTTTAGGCTGTACCAGAGATAACAAACTTGATATACAGGATTAATTTTATTATTATATAATTTTATATCGATTATTATAGAGTTTATAGCTGAATTTATTTTTCCTCTGTATTTGTAGAAAAGCGTATATTTTAATAAAATATTTACAGTTGAAAGTTGATTTTTTTCGAGGTATTGTGTTGCGTATTTAAAAAAAGGCTCAACGGTAACCAGTTATTAACAATTATCAGATTTACTTAATCTTTTTTCTACTCCCGTGTGTAAAATACATAATTACCCACCGATCTAGCGTGCGGGAAGCGTCACTTTACCACGTCAGTTTCGTTTCCCACGAGACACTTCGGACATTTCCTGGATTTTACCGCACGGATTTGGGAGCAATCGGATGTTTTCGGAGATATTTTCCACGGTTTGAATTCTGACGTTTGTCAATTCTGACAGTCATGTCAGTGAAAGTGAAAAAGCTAACGGTTTTAGAAAAAGTATAGTATGCAACACGTTCGGTAAACATTATCTCTTAAATTCGTTTTGGAAAATCTCGGAAGGAAAACGAAACGAAAGAAAAATGGAAAATGGAAAACGTTAGACAATAAACCCAATAAACCCATCCTAACGATAGTTTCAATAATCCAACATGAATTGTTTTGTGTGTTTGCGATACGGCATTGGCATAGAAATGATCGAAAAAAAATGCACCGAAAGAAATTTTTTGCACGGCCCCTATGGCAGCCGAATAAAAAAAGGTCCCGTTTTAATTTGCAGCCATTTTAAAACAGACTTACCTCCTATCGACAACAAAACAAAGTGACGATAACAAAAGAAAAACCTGTTCTCGACGTATAACATTCCGAACGGGATGACAAATTTCGGAAGTGAAAAACAATTAAACAGCGTTAATTAAAACACCGTTCGATATGTTTAAATCTATTCGCTTTTTGCCTTTTCCTTTTAACGCCGCCGTCGATGCACGTTTCGCTGAAATCCGATTTAAACGAGTGTAAACACCGGCCCGTGGGGCGAACACGTGCCGTGTTCACAAAACTCCTAAAATTGGAGTCGTTAATTTTACGACTCGAATTTTTATCGGGGCGGCCCTGGAAAATGAGTGACAGAAAACGCGTCAAGCGCGAACTTTCTCGAGTGTTCTCGCCACTTTCGGATCCGGGCCAATTAATTTAATCATAACATAATTAATGCAAACGCGGCGATTTAATTATCACTTTCATATGAAGCAGATTGACTCAACCCCGAGAAATCGATGATTCAAACGTTCATTGTAAAAAACCGTGAATAAAGTTAACCGTCAACAATCGAGCAATATCAATTTGCGATTCGATTGTGTATGCGTCATTATTCCATGGTATGGAGTATCTGGAAAGCGGAGAACTCACTCGCATGATTTTCAACACGGACGCATTCGTAGTAAACATCGTAAAAACAAACATTCTGTGTCATTTTATCGAAAGGCGTTGATTGGTGTTACGTGTCGCGCGTTAATTAAGGCTAATTTCGCTTCCACTTATTTCTCAGCTGGCGATACGCGTCGGTGACAGTGGAAGAATTTCTTTGGTGCGGGATTTTCATGTTTACAATCGGTCTCACAGAACACAAAACAGAAATGACCGTTACGCACACGCATTTCTTAATCGAGTGGTCGCGACGACCACGGATAACCTTAAACCAAATCGCAGATTATGTAAATTGGATTTACCTCGATCGAATAGTAATCCTTGGAAATCGCAATAATCGCATTTAGAGCCGTAATAAGGAAATTCGCACACTGCTTTGCAATGGCCGATTTTGAGACAAAAGCGAACGTTTCCCTCGATAGCTTGACAAGTTACGGCCGCAAAGGTTTGCATTTGCAGGTGCGTTTGCTAATAAATCATCACGCCCCTCGTCGGTGTGATTAAATATAATAATTACGTTACCAAATTGGATTTTGCAGGCGGACTTTTGCCGATTGCAACGAGAAATTAAATCGATATATAGGCGGGGGAAATTGCCGCAGCGGCAGCAGCCTTCTTCGCTATTTATAACGCGCCCGGGGTTAAAACGCCAACCCGATCGATTCGCCATAGATAGTTATTAATATGCGGATTAGGTCAAAAAATAAAGTTACTGGATACATAAAAGCTTTGTCTATGCTGATAATTGAACTAATATAAAAAAAAACGCGACGAAGAGACCATTTAATAAGCACCAAGACCTTGGGGCGTTCACTAATCAATATGGCCGCTGACAGTTCGTCAATCCGGTAGTTTCGGCAATATTTTGTAAAAATAGTCTTAGATCTCATTTAATTTGCAGCGAATTAAGTGTGTAGAGATCGCTATTTAGAAAGCAAATGGAGCAAAGTGCAGGTTAGTTCGAAATTATCATAATTACCTGGGGTGCATCAATTTAATAACTCCTATATTATCTAATATGCCCTTCTAATGAATGTGAGGCGGATTTTTAATTAGTAATGGGGATTAATTATCTTTCGGCCATTTTTGACGGTAACAATCTACCTATTCTCAGCGGTTTTCTTAATTTCGTATTTCCCATAAATTTCAATTAAAACGCAATGTTATTTTTATATGGCATATTTCTGGTTACTTAATAAACATCAGTTTGAGTGCGCCATTTTAAGTTATTTTCAAAGCTGTTTTTTTTTTCTTTATGTATACACACTCCATATATTATTTTATGGTCCGATGCATTTCTCCCTGTTCCTATTTTCAGCGGTTTTCTGATTATTCGATATTTTCGTGAAAAATAAGTTTGTTTATGAAATAAAATGAAATTGGCAAACGGCTAAAATGCATTTATTGTAATTAGCATAGGAAATGAAAACCGGAAAATTGTATTTAGAGAGTAAAATTTATCGACAGATCATAAGAAATAAGATTGCTTTCGAAAAATCGTCGCTATAAAAGGAAAAAACTTCGCGGTTTCGTGTGGTAAAGAAAAGCAATGTTTTTCTATCGTGCTCCTGCTGATCACTATGGAACTTTCGCAAAATCGATGTAATTTAATTGTGCATACATCCTGTATAAAGTGTCCTTCATATCCCGTCGAACTTCAAAGTTACAGTAAACATCGGCAAATATTAAAATTTGCACAAATAATAGCGTTGTCGAATGATATTTTTCAAATATCTCGCGCCCTGTATAATCGACGAAACCTGAAACTCTCGGACGACACAGTTTACGATACTGTTCAAATAAAATTATCCCATCTTTAACGGTTTTTCATTTATCGCCAATAATTTACCCAGAAAAGCGGAAATTTTTAGGACCTTTTAGAATTTTTGCTCATACACACACCCTGTATACGATTCAAACAATATTCGAAGTGGAGGTTATAACCCTGGATCTTCCACGTTTCCTGGTCCAAGAATTTTTTGAAAATAGTAAATGGTTTTCGAGAAAATAATTTTTTTCTGAAACCATGCAGTGCGCCGTAATAATCAATGACGTCATCGTCCGAAATTGCAATTTCAATATGGATTTTTTCAAATATCCCGAGTAGCGTATGTGATAGACGAAAACCGCAAATACAAAAACTGTTACGATCTTTGATTTGCGGCCAATAATTTACTCTGTAAAAGAACAATTTTCTAGGTCTTTTAGATTTTTGCCTATAATTTGAGAACCCTGTATATAATCGAAAAAATGCCTAAAATAAAGGTTATTGTACTGGTTCTTCCGCGTCTGGTGGCTAAAGAATTTTGCTGATTGGGTGAACGATTATGGAGGAAAACATATTTTTCTGGAAGCTAAAATTACCAATTTTTTTTTAAGAATAAGTAAAATAAGTAAAATTTGATTGCACTCAATTTTTACCGTTTAAATGTGGACACGGACTTTTACTTCTCTGCTAAATTTGACGTTGATATCTGCAAATTTAGGACAGTTAACACATTTCTCAATTTCCAAGGAATATCGGGAACACCCTGTACAATAGGTGAAAACCTTAAATACAAAAGTTTTTGCTGTCTGTGCGTGCTATATCGCAATATAAAAGAAAGTGAGATCTGAATCATAGTTTTTCAGTTATAACCAATGTTCAATAATAGAAGGACCCATTTTCAGTTTTTTTGAATTTTTTAAAAATTCTTAAGAATAAAAGTTTATGGAGCCGTATCTTCTGCATCCTCTCGTTCAAGAACTTTTTTGGTCTAGTAAACGTGCGCACGCGATTTTTAATTTTTTTAGAATACTTCCCGACCCCTCCCCCCCATTTTCAATTGGTTTCGTCACGGGACAAAGCTGCATATATGTGCCAAATATGAAGTTGATTGCTTCAAATTTCACTTATCGTGATTCATAGCAATGTCCAAAAAACAGTGAAAATCGCGAAAAAAAGATGGTTACCGGCGTCTTCTTTTCTTATAAGCTTATGTGGCATCCCAAATCCCGCAGTAGCATGTATGATCACTGGTCTTTCTGTTGTGTAAAATTTGCCTCACATTGCTTTTATATCTGATAATTAATATATAGGAGACCGCGAATCGACTTCTTCGCGATATAATATCCAGGCCGTCTTGGTTTTCTTTCAAGGTCGCGCGCAAGCCAAGCATTTTCGAAGCCGTTCCCTCACGTGATTTTAAAAACACTCGTCGACTAATAATCTACGTCTTAACGAGGCAGATAACAACCAGCGATAGCGCGAGGAAATTAATTTAAACGGATGCATTACAAAACTCACTTTTTGAAGGTCGCCTCGTAGTTTTTGATCTCTTTGCGCGAAAACTCGTGGAACTCGGTGAAAATGTTCACCACCCTGTACTTGATTTTGACCTCGTGGCCGCTGTCGAGTGCCTCGTTTATCTCCTGTCGCCGGATGAGCACCGAATTTAGTTCCGAATCGGCCGGCATTTTTTTTTTGCTTTCGCGGCGCGATCACAAATTTACGCGAGTAACGAAAATGGAATGCGTGCGCACCTGCAAGCGGGTCAAAACGTTGTGAGGAGAGCGCTACGCACGTGCCCGATATCGGCCGACCCCACGCGGTCTCGAAGGGTGGGGGGCGGCCTCTGTTGAACAGGTAGAAGAAAGCATCGCGGCTAGAGGGTTAAAAGTGGGTAGATAAAAAAAAAGATCAAGGTAAGGGAAGGTGCGTCGTGTACGCAAAAATGCACTTAGATTTTGGTAAAGTTCGCCCGGCAATATACCGTTGTTACAACCTTTCATGGTTTTCACTTCGGAATGAGTTTAAGAGATGCCTGTTGCAAAGCGGAAGCAACCATTCTTTTCAGCACGTATACCACAAACCAAAGTCGTATTTAAGAAGTTAGCCGACAAGAACTGTGTCGTGCGGACTGTTGTATTTTAAGAGTAGGGAAATTTTCTTATAACTGTTATAATAATTCATATTAGTGTGCTTTTATAAACCTTCGTAAAACAGTCCCTAGTTGCGATCAATCGACTTCAAGTTGAATTTGCCCATTAGATAAGTTGATCACGATAAGGGTTTAACATAATAACACTAAAATATTTTCCTACGGAAGCAATACAAAATCGTATGCAGATCACTGATTTACAATCGATGTTTTTCCAGTTGCTTATTGGTTGATTGGTTGGTGAAATCGGATTTTTATGAAACAGTATTTTCTTAGCCATCGAAGCTTTGAAGTTCCGTCTTGTGTTTGTAATTAGTAATTACCAACTTAGTGTTATTCAATTGTTTTTCAAGACTCGGTGTGCCATTCATAAAAATTTACTGGATTATGTCGTAAAAACGGTATATCTCCACACATCCGCACGTGAATGCAAGAACGTATTGATACTTATGCTTGCAAAATGTTGCAGTTAGTTTTATAGTTTTTGGATAAAAAATTTCTTTTCAAGTTTTATACAAAGTATACACCACAATTGTTTAATAGTACCTCTCGGGTCGTTGTAACTCGTTGGTTTTTAAACATTTGTAAATCTTATAGAATTTGCCAATGTCGAGTCGTGACAAATTATCAGAGAAAGTGATCAATGCATAATCTAAATTCGTAGACCGTCCGAAAAACAGACTATATAGCAAAACCAAACCAGACCGTGGTCGATTGACTACTTCTTAATTATCCGACAATTGACCACTTCTTAATTGACTTGTCAAATTCGGTCAAAATGTTTTAAATAACATCTTGCAATTGTAGGGTGTTATCTATCATTATTTAATAATGATATGTATTTTAAAATTTGAATTGTCAATTAAGCATTTACTTAAAATATTTAACCTTGCGCTCTCCTCCAAAGTTTATCCACGGTGTTGGAAGGAATCCATTGTCTGTCCAATTTTTAAAAGTCGTGAAAGGAATCATGTAACTAACTATAGACCTATCACAATCTTATGCAATTTTTCTGAAATACTGGACGTCGTTCTGTAAGGCCGTATTTTTAACTCTGTCAGAAGCATTCTATCTAAAAGTCAGCACGGATTTTATAACTCCCGCTCTGCAGTTACTAATTTGGTACAGGTTACGGAGTATGCAGCAAGGGTGCTTGACAGTCAGGTACAAGTAGATGTTATATATACCGATTTTAGTAAGCATTCGACAAAATCGCGTTTTGGATTTGCCTATGGTGAGGTGATGTTTCTCAGAACTTGACAGGACAAGGTACATATTTTACAAGGGGTATACATCTGATAGATATTTCACATCAGGGGTGCCACAGGGTTCTAACTTAGGACCATTACTATTTCTAATTTTTGTTTATGAAGTTGTTTCAAATCTCAATGATACGCAGAACCTGTTATTTGCGAATGACTTAAAAATTTATACTTCCATTGTGTTACGTGGCAGAGATCAGTAGATATACCCTTTGACTGGTGTATCTCAAATGAATTGAGTCTTAACGTAGATAAATGTAAAGTTCTAAGCTTCACTCGTAAGGAAGCAACTATCGATTTCAATAAAGATACTAAAGATCTGGGCGTGCATTTCGATCAAAGACTTACATTTGTGAACCACATAACGAGCATTGTATCTGCGGCTAACCGTAATTATGGTTTTATATTATATGTTCGATCTCAGCTTGAATACGCTTCGATTGTGTGGAATCCGATTTACTCTTGTCATAGTTGGGCGGTCGATGGCGTACAGGAAATGTTTTTGAAGTATCTGTTGTTCAAAGCAGAAAACGCATATCCACCGAGAGGCATAAGCATAAAAAGTTTAATATGAATAGCCTGGAATGTAGGCGGAAGTGTGTATCAGTTATCTTTGTTTATAAATTGCTACAAAACATTACGGCTAGTGCGAATCTACTAGAGTATTTAGATATTCGTGTACCACGGCTCAATTTGCGCACCAAAGACACCTTTCACTGTGTTCGGGCAAGAACAAACCTATTAAAAAATTCGCCTACAAATACAGCATGTTCCAATTGCAATTGTGTTTCGGACGTGTGTGACATATTTAACTGTGGACCGAGGGAATCAAGCTAGCTCGAATCAAGATCTATGGTTATTCTAATTTCTTTGGAGCTCACTTTGTCAACCTGGTCGAACTACTCACTAGAATGGGTTAGGTTACGTTATATTACATACTGTTTCTTTTTTTGTTACTATACATTGCTCTGTAAATGGATTTATTATTATTATTATTATTGTCAAGAAGTGGTCAATTGTCGGTCAATTAAGAAGCGGTCAATTGACCAGTCCCAATGCTATACATAAGATCATAAAAAAAATTTTCTCTGTTTTTTTTTCTATTTAACTTTGATAGTAATTTGTTAATTAACAGAAAATTAAGATTTATCGAAACTTCTAACTAAACGTGTTAAACAGGCCAAAATTATTTATCATCGAAGAAAATAGAAAAAAAAAAAGAAATATGAATATGTTAATATTTATGGAATTAAAAAATATATATTGCTTAATTTAACACTGACATTGATAATACACTTTCCCACTTCTTTAAAAAAGGTTTTAAGTGTACATTTTATATATTACTCTTACTGGACGCAATACAGCAATTTTCCACTTAACCTAAAAATATTTTTCAAAATCGACGAAACCGGGAAAATCTGTGAAATCTTCGTGAAACCCGTGAAATCTAGTATACCAATTTTGGACGGTCACCTAGAGATAGGTAATTTAAAAAAAATAGCATTCGATTAATAACATTAATCTAGTTAAAGGCACAGTTGTTGAATTAGAATAAATTTTGACCACCCTGTAAAAGATGGTAAACCTTTTATTACACTTTACTGTAAATTTTCTTAAATATTTCTTATTTAATAAGGAAATTAAAGTTCGACAAAATTCGAATTATTCAAAAAACCTTTAGATTCAAGTATAATAATCGTTAATGAAGCAGACACTGGTTTTGATCGTAAAATGTCAAAAAGGCATACACGGAGCTTCAATTAAAACAACGCAACTTTGATGCTTTTAACACTTTTGAGGCAGTCTCTATGGTATGAACGTAATTTTAAAAAATACCTAACTCGAGAATCCTCCTCCACCAGTTTTGAGATATTGCGATTCGCATTTATGAATGACTAGTCGGCTCTCCCCTATCGTTTGATGTTTTTAGATCGCACGACAGAATATTTAATCGCGACGGGAACCCGTTATTGTAAAATTGCGGTCGTAGTGAGTCACGCGCGGGTTTTTGAAGTGGCCGGGGCGAGGGTCCCGCTTAAATCTATTTATTATTACTCATTCCTGATACGATAACGCGTTTCCTCCATCCTATTTATATATAAGTTGTCCGTTCGTTGTGAATTGTTTCTCCCATTATACAAACTTGTCAAACGCATACGAATCCGAAATGAAACTCACAGGAAAAACGAAGGTGTAAACTATTAACGCTTAACTAATAATAATAATAATAATAATAATAATGATACTGATAATAATAATAATAATAATAATAAATAATAATAATAAATAAAAAAAGGGAGAGCTCGAGAACCAGTGGCGGGGAAAGCAACTACACGGCAGATACCCAAGCTTGCTTGATAGTGCTGACCTTGTGGAGAGGGCCATGAGAATGTTGAGCACCTCATCAGTAGGTGCCGGATACTGGCCCCGAAGGACTACACCACAAGACACGACAACGTAGCCAAGATAGTCCATCAGGAAATAGCCTTCAACCTTAAACTTCTAAAAGAGAAGTGTCCGTACTACCGATACTCACCAGAATCCGTGCTTGAAAATGAGGGATTTAGGATATATTGGGACAGAACTGTTCAGACCGATCGCACTGTCCAGCATAACAGGCCAGATATTCTTATTTATGACAAGGCAAATAAGGTGGTGACCCTCGTCGACGTTGCGATTCCCGCACCTAACAACTTGCAGAAGAAAGAACGTGAAAAAAGAGAAAAATACATACCGTTAGCGGATGACATAAAACAGACATGGCGTGTCGATAGGGTTAACATTGTTCCTATAGTGATCGGTGCAATGGGAGAAATACCAAAGGCCCTCAGAACCAACCTGACAACACTCACCGTAAAACCAGGCGCCTACTTTGAAATGCAGAAGTCTGTGGTACTAGCTACCGGCAACGTAATTAGAACAGTTCTTAATCAACCTCAACTTCAATAGCGCACATTTCATGTTTTGCTACTCACCTAGCCGACATGAGAGGACTCCATCTTCCGATGAGAAAAAAATAATAATAAAATAATAATAATAATAATAATAATAAAATAATAATAATAATAATAATAATAATAATGATAATAATAATAATAATCATAATGTTAATAATAATAATAATAATAATAATAATAATAATAATAAGCAGCAGCAAAAATAAAATCATTGCCATTACCCAGATCGCCTTACCCGTTCTTGAATTTAGTTTTGGAATTATTGACTTTAGATGAGAGTAAATACGAACTGTAGATAGAGGAACAAGTCGGCTATACTCAACTTAGAAGAATATCTATCTAATCAGAAGAACAACAGACAAATATGTAGATCTACTAAGAGTATATGACGAAGAACTGCCTAAAACAAAATCGATAA